ATGCCTTTTTTCATTTTATAATTTGACTTTTTTTAATTCTCTATATTTTGTATATCAGTTTTTAAGATATAAAAATTAATTTTTGACAATAATTGGTTAAATATTATAAATACTAAAATATTTTATTTTTATGACTATTTAAAATATATATTTGAATATTTGCTTTAATTAAAAAAATATTTATAGATAGAATTGTATAAAAATTATTGAATTTTTTATTGGAAAAATAAGTTGATTAAAATAATAATCATAAAATTTTTTATGTAACAAAATACCATAAATATTTATTTATTACATATAAATTATCATTCAGGCCAATTTATCAATTTATATCACAAATAGAAAATAATAGAAAATGAAATTTTAAAAAATACGATTCCTTTATAAAATGTAAATTCATATTTCATAAACAGCAAGTAGGTACAATTGATAATCAATAATTAATATTGAAAGTTGTATTTTTATTTGTGTTAAGTCAGAAGATGTACAGAAATAATCATAGAATAAAAACAAATTTCAAATTAGAACTAATTTAAAAGTGACTCTAATAATAATATTAATCAGACAGTTACTATTGCTGTAGATACTTAAATTTGAAAGCATTCAAAAAATGTGATTATTAATTAGTCTTTAACTCCTGCTTGTATTTTTGAAGCTAAGGAACATGAAACGAGTGAGTTCAAAACATTAAGTTCTCTGATCGATTCATCGTTTAATCTGTTCCTATGTTTTCGAATTATTAGAGCACTTCTGGAAAAAACCCTTTCGGATGGGACAGATGTTGCTTGAATGGCGAGAAAGTCTCGAGCCATTCGCGACAGATTTGGAAATAAATTTTCATTCTCCTTCCACCATTCTAAGATATTCACACTTTTGTGTGCTCTGTTTTGAGAAAAATAAAGATCGATTTCATAACGCCACTCTTTATTTTGAGATACTTTTCTTCTCTGTTTTTGAACTGCTGGAATTGAATTTTCAGAATCACTGTCATAAAATGAAAGTATGTCAATATCATCTTGGTCTTTTTCTTCAAAATTTCGATTTTCATCTTGGGATTCATTTAATGCAATCTATCGATGAATTAATCGATTAGTAAAAATATATAAATTAAATAAATAAATAAATTATATAAATTATATAAAAATATTAATTAAATTTTATTTTACTTTTGAAAATATTAGTAAAAAGTTATTGAAAGATTAGTCAAAAAATGCAATTTTTTTCAAATTAAATTTTTCGAAGTTGAAAAATAAATAAATTTTTAAATGTGAGTTATTTAGCATCCCACACGAAAAGGTTTCCCGAAAAATTGCAGAAACGACTGTTGGAAAATTTTCGGAAGCGTTCTGAAAAACTTCCGTAAGCAATTCAACATGGGATGGTAGAATAAATATTACGCATTGAATCTTTTCAATTATTTACCTGAGGAGAAGGACGGTAATAGTTGGTTTTGTAAATATTTTCAAACATAGACAACGAATAGCGAAGCATTTCTCTCCCCCAAGGTGTTTTGTTAAATTGTTCTTTTTTATGTCTGGGGTCGACCATTAAAACTACACAGTAGATCCAGTTACTGTTTTTGTAATGTTTGGTTAATTTGTCTTTGGCAGCACTAATTTCTTCGATTATTTGCCGTTCAACTGTAGTAGATGTTTCCTTTTCCAAAGATGTTATTTCACTTTCCAATTTATCAAGAAGCATATTATACGCGACGATAACATAGGGTAAAGTAGTGTATTTTTCTCCGCTCAAAAGATCAGAAACAGTTTTAAAATACCTCAAATATTTACAAATTTCGTGCAAAACTAACCACTCCTGCTCCGTTAAACATAAATGACTTAGAGAATCGTTGTTTCTGCAAATTAAGTGTAGAGCACTTTCCGGTTTATCATTACAGCTTCTATTTCTAATTCTAAATTACGAAAATCATCGTTGTTAACATCATCCGACTCTTCTTCACTATCGGAACCCAAAGAAGTTTCATCTGAATCGAGATCATCATTTTCAAAATCAATTTTGAGCTGCTTGAGCATATCTTGGGCAGCTAAATTAAAAACGTGAGCCCAGCAGAGAAAACGTTGATTTTCAAAGTCAAATTCCATAAGATAGGATAATTCCTTCACGAATGTCGTATTAGATGCAGCATTGTCTGTTGTGATACCTTGCACCTTGTTCAATAGATTTGCAGCTCCAATTACTTGGTGAAAAGCAGCAGCGATATCGCGTCCTGCATGCTGTCCTTTTGTAGGAACAAAGTCAATTAGAAACGATTGTAGGCTCCAGTCATCATCGATAAAATGAATTGTGATTCCATGATATGAACGTCCAGCAATTGACGTCCAACTGTCAATCGTAAACGAATACTTTGACTTATTTTCCTGTAATATGCGCATAACAGAGTCTCGCATAGATGTAAATCGAGTATTTACTAAATTTTTTAGTGCTTTTCGCTTTGGAACTTTAGCTGATGGGTTCAAAAAATGAAAATAATTTTGTGTTTCCTCATCATCATAAATACTGTATGGCAGATATTTCCTTACTACAAAATCCACTGTCATTTTCTCAAAACGTTCTTGTGAAAATGCCTATTTAAAAATTTTTGTTAAATTTATTTATTTATTATAAACAAAATAAGAAACTAACTCGTTTCATTAAGTAAAATATTATTTTTAAATTTACTAAGATTTTCATACACCTTTTATAACATTCTAGTAATTTTTACTTGGTATAACTTTTTTTATTTAAATTGTTATGAGGTAGAGATTTAATTCTTAACAAAATGATTTTGAATATTAGTGTTAATAAAAACAATTTAAGAGGATGAGCCAGTAAAATTTAAATTTTAAATGTATGTTGTTAAAATGAAATAATTTTCTAAAATTATTCATTATTATTAAATTTAAAACAATTATTTTTGATATTTAAACAATTTTATTTTTTGAAAAAATTTGAATTCTTTAAATTTATAAGATTAATTGTTCCGATTCATAAAAGCATATAAAAAATTGACAAAGGAAAATTAAAATTGTGGAAGAAAAAAGTTTTTGAAGATTCATCAGTAAAATTGGAACTAATTTTATACTTATTTAAGAGTGAAAATTTTTTACATTGTTTCAGCATTTGAAATCATATTTTACTAAGAAGAATTTAAAATATAATTTTTGACTATTTTAATTTTTTTAATTTTTTAGAAATTTTATTTTTTGAAAAAATTGAAATTTTTCAAAATACGTAGGATTTTTTGTTTAAAATTAAAAAAGAAGGTATAAAAAATTGTCAATGAAAAATAATAGAAATTATTTATAAAATGAGAGAAGTTCAAATTTTTAATTTTTTGAGAATTTACAATTTGAAATTTTACTGGTCCTTCTCCTTAAAAATTAAATTATTAGATTAAATTTCAAATTTATACTTCATTTCGTTCAATAGAATTAGATTCCCAAATTTGCGAATATTCCGTTTCGTGAAATTTTTCTAGATGTCGCTTAACGCCACTGGTATTACCACCAGTCATTTTAATTTGTTCTTCTGTACCGTTTTTCGCAAAACATAACTTGCAAAATGCAACTTTTGACTTATTATCTTCATATTTAAAATCAAAGTATTCTTCTAAAGGTTTTCCTCCTTTCTTGCGCTTTGTCATTGCCTGACGGACACTATAATTACAATTTTATGTATAAAAACTTAAAAAATAATTGTATAGGTAAATAAAATATTTATTTTATCAATATTTTATAATATTTAATGACGGTAAAAGTTCGATTTGCTTTCAAATTAGTTTCACATGGATTTCTGACGTTTTGAGACTAATTTCTGATGGAATTTTTAGCAGGGAAAGAAAATAAAGATTAATATGATTAAAGTTTTGATTAATATTAAATAAAATATAATACCCCAGGCGGGAAAATCGGACGACTGCCGGATCATCCAACCGGCTTGGAACCGCGCCGGTTGGATTTTAGGATGAATGCCAGTACTGGCAGTCAGTACCGATTCGGATGTCAATGGCAACCGGCGCGGATCCAATTCGGATTCGTCTTTCTACCGACGTCGATACAGATCCGGTGGAGATCCAGTACAGATTCGGTACAGATTCGTTTGGATTTTCGGATCAGAATTGCTACCGCCTGGCAACCGGCTGGGTATTGGCATTCTACCGACTGGCAACTATATAATTCATAATATAATGATTATAATTTATATTCATATTATTAAAATATTAATTTATTAATAAAAATAAACTTAGAAAATGCTTATTGTATAATTTATTTTTTCCAGTTAATTAATTTTTATAAATAAATTTTATGTTCTTGAAGAATAATTATTTTTAAAAAAAATTTTGAACAAAGATGCATAATAAATTTTTCTATTTTTATTGTTTTTAATAAAAATTAATAAATTAACAAAATCAATTATTTATAATAAAATTGGTAAAATAATAATTCAAATGATGGATATACCAGAATGCATCATATTTGTATAACATTTTTGTGAGAAGAGTTTTTAAAGAATGTATTTAAAAAATATAATTAACAATAAGAACATAAAATTAATTTGTGAAATAATAGATTAATTTGAAAAAATAGGTTACAGTTACATATTTTTAAACTCAATTTTTTTATTTATGTATAATATCTTAAATAAATATTCATAAATGGATCTTACTAATTTATTAAATAATATTACTTTTATTTTGTCAATTAAATAAATAAAAATTTGCCGTTACATTAAAATGTCTTTAGAATTAATAATTATTAGAAACTAATTAATTTTAAATTAATTTTACAAAACTAAATTACAGTTCTATATAATTTTTTTTGTAGTGAAGTTAGCTTCATTTAAAAAAATTGGTCGAGAAACGATAATTCGATTGTAGCAAACCCGCGAAAGATGAATGCCTAGACTCCTGTACGAAAAGCAGAATAATTGTTGGATGATTTAATTTCAGTAATCTACCTATAATTTTTAGAGCTTTACATAAATATCTTTTTAGATTTTTTTTAGTAGAGTATAACTTAATCATTTAATTGATTAATGAAAAAAAAGCATTTTTATTAGTTAATTCTCTATGGATTATTTGTTAAATAAAGTGAAATCTAAAAAAAAAGTTCAATTGTGTGTAAAATTTCGGTACTATAATCAAGTAGCTACGTTACTGCCATATCACGAGACATGCGCAAACAGCCTTCTTGCCGGCACAACATACATTCGTTTTGTTCGTTTTCACCACGTTTTATCTCGAGGGCTTGATTGCCAGTTAAATGTGACAGAAATAGTGTTTTAATTTCCCAAAAAAGGATAAAAGGTACATAAATAGGAGCTTTCTATTGTTAACATTCGGAAAATCACAAAAAGGTAAGTCAAAGTTCTTTTAAAATAAAATAAAGTAGAATAATGAAAACACGAGAAATTAACTGTCGAAAACAAATGAAGGTGACGGCATGTGTTTACATGCAAATTTCTTTTTAGTCGATTATCGGTTTTAAGATATGTTTTTCATTATTTACATATTATGAAAAAGTAAAAAGAATATCACCGTTTCCTAAGAATATAAAAAGTGTTACGAATTTGTAATTTATAAAATGTATGAATGTAAATAACGGCACGTCAATGCGTAGATCGTAATTCCGTTTTTAACCATGAATTACAATTAAAAAATTTATTTATTATTTACAAAGAGGCAGCTTATTTATTAATTAATTTATTTTTGACAGATTCAAACTAGGTAATGATTTTTGACATCGTGAAAAATTATAAGTATTATTAGAATCATGTCAAAACCCTATTATCGGCAAAAAAAAAAATATGTTTTTTAAACGAAAACATTCTAATGCATTTGAAGAGTCAGAACTTGAGTTACCTAATTTTGGAGCGAAAAAATTAAAACTTGATCGTGAAAGCACCGAAATCACCTAATAATGTTCCTGGCAATATTCATCCTAATGGTGCTGGAAAATCGGCTGGCAACATAAAGTCTGTTCCAGAAACCCAACACTCAAAGGAAAAAACTCCTGAAAAAAACTTAGAAGTTTCAGAAGTTTTGAATTCGGATTCTAATGAGGATTCTTTGAACAGTAATTTTGTTTAATTCTTACTTTCTCTCTAAAACCGAATCAGTGAAAAATTAGTAAAAAAACCACTGATTTTCAGTGATTTTCTTCTCAAGATTTCAATTAGTAATATTTCATTGGAAATCAGTGAAAAAAAATTAAGTTTCAGTTATTTATTACATTTATATATAGTACATTATCGTCTTCATTTCATAAAAATGTTATTTTTATAGGTTCTGAATTGAGTAATAATGGATCTGAAATTAGTTTGCCACAGAATAAAGGAGCATCGCCATTATTAAACCGTGATGATCTGTCGATCGAGTCAGTATCTGCTCGTGTAAATCAACTAAAAGGTTAATTTACATATTATCTACAATTGAAACCTGTGGCCCGCGACACTTATAAAATCTAGGAAACCTTTAAATCACGATAAATTTAAAAATAGGACACTAAATTTATTCAACAAAATTCATTATGATTCAAGACATTACTTTACAAATTTTAAAATTATAGAAATAATTGAATAGAATTTGGATATAAATTAAGTATTAAAAAATTTTTAAATAAAAAATTATTTAAGTAATTGAATTTTCAAAGCACTTTTGTAATGCAAATAAAATTAATTTATTTTGCAAAGAATTTCAATTAAAATTTTTTAAATAATTAATATTTGAAAATATTTACATGACTAAAAAACTAAATATTAATTTCGGAAAAATTTAATTTGTAACTTTGAAAATAATTCAATTTTTGAAGACGTTTAACTAAAAAATTTTAATTTACTTGAAATTTCGTAAAATTTTATTCAGAATTTTGAAAATAATCAAATTGTATAAATAATGAAAAATCATAGTTTTTAATGTCACCAAAAAATTCATCTTGGAAAAAAATAGCTGTTAATAGTATTATGTTACAAATATTAATTTTAATGTTTTATACGTTTTTCAGAAGAATTAAAGCAGTTGAAAGAAGATGTTCAATCTGGATTCAAATCGATTGAAAAACAACTTATTGGAATTAAGAAGAGTATCTTATATGATTTAAATTTGAAATTCGAACATCTTATTCAAGTAATGTCGAGCAATCTTACTTCAGCAGAGGAGTCAAAACAAATGGAGATTTTGCCAACTCTACCAAAAAGGAATATCACCGACTTTCTCGAGTTTGAAAATCAATTGTGTGCCGAACAAGACTTGAAATCTCCATCGGTAATTTTTTATTTTTAAATAAATCCAATAATAATAAGAATAATAATCATTATTTTTATTTCCCTTAATTTCTCAGTAATTTTAGTACTGTATTGCAAATTTTGATCAACAAACATCAATTCAAACAATCCAGATGAAAAGAATTCAGGGTAAGAAAAAATAATTGGCCGTAACGTCCCTACATGGTTTAGACGCCAAACCGAATACAAAGTAAGCTAACTCCCAATTATTTTTCCTTACTCTCAATTATTTTTTTTTTACTGGGTAAAAAAATAATCTAAATTATGTATTTTACAGAAAACATTTATGCGTCTTCAATCAAAACCATTGCTTGTTCATACAAATATGATATGTACGATTTTACCAATGATTCTAACAAAAAAAGTGCAACTCGAATACAGTGGATTTGGTCGTCCCAGTAGAAAAAAACAGAAAAAAGACTTTTCATCGACTCAGACTTTCTGTCTTTTAAAAGGTAAACTTTCAATAAATTATAAATAGTAACATTTAACAAATCTCCATTATTTGTCATTCATTATTACAATGAATTAATTAATTATTACAATTATTATTGCCTCCTATTATTACAGAAATTCATCTTGAGAAGTTTTCCAACGTGCCGTTACAACAATTTAATAATTATATTACCCGCTGGTTTTCCAATGCAGGCGATAGGGAGCGAGGAAAAAAAGACAGAAAATCAAACCATCCTGCAAATTAAAGCTTTTATGGAAGAAAAAACCGTTTCATTTTTTTTACTTAAAATTACATACTTAATTTAACTAAGTTTTTCATGCAAGTTTTCACTGACGTACTATTGTAAAACATGAAAATTATAAACTATATTTTAATAAATAAGCATTATTAAAAAATAAAAACTTAATTTTATTGTATGTTCTTGATTATGTGTATAATATTATTATAAATCTTTCAAATTTAAATATTGATTAACTTTTTTTTAATTTTTAAATGACTAAAAATCATTTTTTATTGATTAAAAATTAAAACATTTTATTGATCGGTTTAAAATTGAATTATTTCATATTTTAATCAATTAATAATTAAATTATTTGAATTTTTAATTAATTTTGAATTATATTAACAAACAAATTTGCTGTGTTAACTTTCAATTTCATTTAAATTTAATTCAAGAATTTTTCTTTGTTACATAATTTAAAAAAAATTATTAAAATTATTTATTATTAAATTATTTTTACGCTTTTAACGAAAAAATTACTATAATTACTTTTATTTAAAAAGAAATTAGAACGTAAACAAATTGCAGTAAGATAAAAAATTACTTTGGGTATCGATGTATTGATTTTATAGGCACGTATAATTACAAATTAATTATGCAATCTATAACTGTCATTAAAAAAGTAAACTAATACAAATATTAAAACATATAAAATTAAAAAAATTTATTTTTCTTAGTGACAGTTTAAATCGGCTCTGTTATGCTGAGATTCTCAAGCGAGCGAACAGCGTAGTGGTTAGCGTATTAGACTTCGGTGCGTTAGATTAAGATAGGCTAGGGTTCGAATCCCCCTGCGAGCGTTAGGAAATTTAATGTGTGTAAAAATAAGTTAAGTGTGTGAAAAATACTTCGAGTGAACTATTAATAACAAATAATTAATATGCATTCTGCATTGTTAATTAAAAAATTTTTTTTCTAAAATTATTTAAAAAAAAAATTTTTTTTTTATCCGCGCCGGTTGCTAGACGAAAAAATGCCAGTTCCCAGCCGGTTGCTGGGCGGCAGAAAACCTATACCGAGACGGTATAGGTATACCAGTTCCTAGATGCTTGCCAGGCGGATGAATGCCAGTACCCAGACGGATGACAAGCGGATGAATGCCAGGTGTCAGGGGATGACAAGCGCATGAATGCCAGTACCCAGGCGGATGAAAGCCAGGTCCCGGGCGGTTTGACGCCTGTACCGAATCGGATCCGCAGTCTGTACAGAACTAAGTCATCTTTCGGACGAATACCAGGTCCGCGGCGATTTCCAGCCAGTACCGACAATCAATCCGGCGTCGGTACTGGATCTGTACCGCGCCGGTTGGAAATTTCCGCCTGGGCTGCATTAATATACGAAATCTATGTATGAAATATTAAATTTTCATTTTCATTGAAACATTTTTAAGACAGTATAGTAATTTTTTACATACATATCATTTTATTGGAATTTCAAGTGAGAGCTCCCAATACCTCACAGGTGGGGTAATAGAAGAAAATGCATTTTTTTCGAAAACATTTTTTTTGTAAACTTACTTTTTTGTTCTTAATTTCGAATTAATTATAATTAAAGATAAATAACAAAAGGAGTAAAAAATAACCAAAACAATATTTTATTATATCAATAAGTTGGTTTTTTTTAATAATTGTCCTTAAGAGGCTCCAATTCCCTCACCTTCCCCTATACCAAGTTTCATTAAGATCGGAGGTGAGACGCTTTCGGATCTATATCCCTACTTGGGTGAAGTGAAGTTGAAGTGACTCACTGTTATCGTGTTGTGACCTATGCTGTTTATAATGTTTTGTGGAACTATGTAAACATCTTTTGTGTATCTGCGGTGTCACCTTGCAATGTTGTGATCTTCGACAGTTTAATATCTTAACTGTATACCCCTTGTTCAAGGTTTAAGTATGTTTAAAGTGTTTGAAACCCGGTGTTGACATTTTCCCGCGTTACAGGTATAATTGATGTTTCTCACTCAATTTGAGTTTGTTTCTCATTGTTTTGCCCAGAGGGAGATTGACTTCAGTAGTCTTACTTTAGCCTATATTATATACATATATATGCCATTCCATGAGTTTTTTAGCGCTTTTTGGAGTAACCTTTTCAAATTAAATAAAACATTTTTTTATAATATTTATTAATATCAAGGTCCACAATAATCACTTTTTTAAGTAAAAACAATTGTTTATTTAAAAAATACAACAATAAATAATGAAAAAAATTCACTTTTTTCCTTCTACTCCAAATAAATTGGTTTAAAGATCAAAATTTTCCTTATTTTTCACGCTTTAATACCGCACAAGAAAAATAATGTATTAGAAAACAGTTAACTGACAATTTATTAAACAATGTTTGTTTACTTTTTTGTATTTTAGTTACTTTAAAACGTCTGCTATAGTTGCGGGCGACGTTCGGAAATTGTCGCTCTCGTTATTGAGCAGCAGCTCATTACACTAGCGTAGTAGAAAGCATGTTGTGCGAAAAGTGAGGTTATGTTGTCATTAAACAAAACCTAAACATTTCTGGTTATCACATTGAATGGTTTTTAATTATCTACTTTCCCTGCTAAAAATAAAATCACAGAACGTCAAAAAATTAGTCAGGATCTCTGACGTTTTGAGACTGTTTTTGTTACGATTGCAGTCACAGCACACCACAATAAGTGAGGTTTAGTCAAAGAATCGTCAATAGTAGTCAGATTTTTTATGAGGGTGGAGACCCTTTTTTTTGGCCATACCATAAATCATTAAACCCTGTGACTATTTGTGATGTTAAATGACATTTCTTTCTATAAAATAGTTTTCAAGATTCCTGACTTACTTCTCATGAATTTTGACTACAAATATTTAAAAATTAAAATAAAATCAATATTTTTTAATTAAAAAAATAAATAAAAATCATTTATCGTACAACATTTTTTTATATTTACGTTACACATACTAAATTATTATTTTTACAATTTATTATATTTATTTACCCCTATCGAAGAAAATCTCGCAAACGCAGGGAATCGAACTCACAACCTAACGAACGCAAACCGAATACCTAACCCCTGAGCTAAACTAACCTGAGATCTGAAAAATAGAATACGGTTTTATGAAAATAGAAGATCTTTTTACTTTTTTTCAATTTTATCAACATATTTTGTTGATGATTATTATTATTATTTTAAAAAAATTTTATAATTTTTAAGAATTAACAAGTAAAGTTAAAATAGGTATATTCTTATATTGATCAAAAAACATTTTTAGTCCATTTATCATATATTAATGTATTCAATTAATAAAATTTTCTTTAGCAAATGTTTAATTAAACAAAAAATTTGTATGTAAATATTTTTTGAATTCAAACTTCAAAGAATATGTGTAATATAGAAATAAAATAGTCTAGAATAATAAGATACTGTCGGATTGTCTCAAGTAAACTCTGAGCGAATTTTATCAGGTTTTTCGCTCACGTTTTAGCAAATTCATTACTATCATACATAATTAATTATAATGATAAGAATTAATTAATATGCATATATTAATTACTATATTATTAAAATTCAATTTAACATAATTCTTCCACAAATCAACTAAATGATTACTAATTTTAATTTCTCTTTTTAGCATACTGCACTATAATTAGATGCAATATTTGGTTCAAATCAAATTTATATTGAGTGAAAACTGGATCAAATTCTCTCAAAGATTGATTGAGCGATCAATTCATATATTCTATTTTACAAGAGACCAGAATGTTTTTGCTCATCTAGTTGTAAAAAAATAAACTTTTATGTGAAATAGCCAGCGATTTCTAATTTTTTTTCAAATATATATATAAATATATATATATATACATATATAGAGTTAACACAGTGGTAAGAATAGGTTTTCAACATATGTTGCTTTCTTATAACTAAATGTAAGGAAACTAGCTTACTGTAAAATAATAAATACAAATTTGAAGTAGGGACTTTAAAAGTATAGTCGTAGTCATTGACGCCTTCCCTTTTCTGTCCTTGTCTTACAAACGTGATTCCATATATATTATATGTACGTTAGAAAAGGACAAAAAGAAAAGTATAGGCCAGAAGGATCTTTTATATGGTTTTATGGCTTTTCATTGCAAAATTAAAAATTGTTGCATTTGAAAAAAATAATTTTTAAATATTATATTCGTAATGTACATGTTAATACAATTACAACGATACAAAATTTTTTGCAAATGTTTTTAAATTATTGAGAATTAATTTTAATTAATGGAGTATTTATTGTATAATCATTATGTAATTTTAGAGTTTTTACATAATGTTTTATATCATTGGAATCGTTAAAATCTATAAATTACAAATATAACATTTAAAAAAATATTTATTTAAATTTAAATAATTTTTTATTTTGCATTAAAAAGTCATAAAACCTGATGGACCCGCAAAAGGACCCTTCTATTGGAAAAAGGGAATATATAATATAATAGAGTTATATGGTGGGTTTGAGTGGCCTTGGTACCTCTCTTGGAACCCTTTTTACAAAAAAATAAAACGTAGTGAGAAATAGTCACTTTTTAGAAAACGTCAGGCCCATAAAAACTATTTATGTCAGAATTAGTCAGCAGCATCACAAAACATCAAAATAGTTTCAAAACGTCAGGATTTCTGACGTTTTCCCTGTTGAAAATTCCTATGTGAGAACACATATGGGATCCCATCCAGGATCTCTTGTGAGTTCTTATGTGGGTTCCCATACAGGTTCACACATAAGATCCTGTATGAAAAGGTTCCTGGGATGAACTTGCGTGAGAGCTCGCGCATGATCTTATGTCTCTGTAAAAGCAATAACACAGGATCCCATGAGGTTTCCTGTGTAGGTTCCTATATGAACAACACGATAAATAGGAACACACATGGGATCTTATCCGAGATCTTGTATGAGTTCTTACATAGGTTCTCACATATAAGAAGATTAATAGCAGCTTAATAAGATTTATCGTGTTGTTCATATAGGAACCTACACAGGAAACCTCATGGGATCCTGTGTTATTGCTTTTACAGAGACATAAGATCATGCGCGAGCTCTCACGCAAGTTCATCCCAGGAACCTTTTCATACAGGATCTTATGTGTGAACCTGTATGGGAACCCACATAAGAACTCACAAGAGATCCTGGATGGGATCCCATATGTGTTCTCACATAGGAATTTTCAACAGGGTTGAGACTGATTTCTGATTTTATTTTTAGCAGCCCACATAGCACCGAAAGTTTCCTAAACCTGTATTAAAGCTGTGCGTGCCAAGTTGGAAAAATTTACCGTAAAGCTTAGCACAGGTTGTGTAAATATGTAAATGTCCGCAATGGAGTAAATGTTTAGCGTAAAACTGTACTGAATCTTTAAATTACGTATTTAGTACAGGTTTAGCGTAAAACTGTACTGAATCTTTAAATTACGTATTTAGTACAGGTTTAGCGTAAAACTGTACTGAATCTTTAAATTATATATTTAGTACAGGTTTAGCGTAAAACTGTACTGAATCTTTAAATTACGTATTTAGTACAGGTTTAGCGTAAAACTGTACTGAATCTTTAAATTACGTATTTAGTACAGGTTTAGCGTAAAACTGTACTGAATCTTTAAATTATATATTTAGTACAGGTTTAGCGTAAAACTGTACTGAATCTTTAAATTACGTATTTAGTACAGGTTTAGCGTAAAACTGTACTGAATCTTTAAATTACGTATTTAGTACAGGTTTAGCGTAAAACTGTACTGAATCTTTAAATTACATATTTAGTACAGGTTTAGCGCAAAACTGTTTATTATTACAAAGAGTATATTATTGTATACATATATTTTTTTCCAATGGTATATGCGTTTTAATACCCAATTTTATATTCGGAGTTTATTAACTTCAACATTTTAATTTAGAATGACATGAATTTACATTAGTTTATTAAAAAAAATTTGCTATACGAACATTGTTACTTAATTTATTTCCAAAAAAATTGAAATTTATGCAGAGTTCACTTGATTAAAATTTAAATTCATGTCATTCTAAATTAAAATGTTGAAGTTAATAAACTCCGAATATAAAATTGGGTATTAAAACGCATATACCATTGGAAAAAAATATATGTATACAATAATATACTCTTTGTAATAATAAACATCTCAAAAACTGTTTGATGACTTTACAAAATAATATAAGTATCTGTTTAAAGTATTTTCGTTACAAGAGACATTTTCTCAAGATATTTCATAGCCTCCCCTGGTCGAGCCCGTTAAGGCGCTCCCAGTGCGGTTGAGAGCGATGATGGTCGAGGGTTCGCGTCTCAGAGTCAACACGTCGGAAGAATTTTTTTTTTATATTATTGACGCTATATATAGCTATATAGGTTTCGATATCGGAATTTTCGATAGGGGTACCAAATATGTAATTTTAAGATTCAGTACAGTTTTGCGCTAAACCTGTACTAAATATGTAATTTAAAGATTCAGTACAGTTTTACGCTAAACCTGTACTAAATACGTAATTTAAAGATTCAGTACAGTTTTACGCTAAACCTGTACTAAATACGTAATTTAAAGATTCAGTACAGTTTTACGCTAAACATTTACTCAATTGCGGACATTTACATATTTACACAACCTGTGCTAAGCTTTACGGTAAATTTTTCCAACTTGGCACGCACAGCTTTAATACAGGTTTAGGAAACTTTCGGTGCTGTGTGGGAGGGTTGCAGTAAAAAATTAAAAAAACATTTTTGAAGGATGAAAAACCTCACTTTTCACACAACATGTTTTTTACTACGGTAGTGTAATGAGCTTCTGCCATGAACGGCTCTATAGGCCGTTTTTGAAAATTCTTCCCCAGCCTTTCCAGATTTAATAGAAGCATTTACATATCCCCGATACTAACAACCCTAGCTGAAAAGAGAGGAATTACAGGTCACGTGGTACATTGTTATATAAGTGTTTGTGCATAACTGTCAGTTGGCGTTTTTTTTGAAATGTGTTTGATGCGAGTTAATTTTGTGTAATTATACATAAAAAAGTGAAAAATGAGGTTGCTAAATTGATCAATGAATCAGCATTAACACAGGCAACTTTACTTGATATAAATTATTTTGTATGTATTTGAATATTAACAAAACACTTGCTGAACTTGTCATTATATTTTGTTTGTTTACATGTAAATATAACCTAAAAATAAAAAAAAATTAAGAAATTTCGTTTGAAATATATACGGCTACAATGAAAAAAAATTATTTATATTTTTATTATTTTTTTTATTTTTATATTTACAACAAATTATTGCAATTCCTTTATTATTTCATTATGAAACATAATTGAAAACAAATATTTTAAACATCTAACTTATATATTCATATATAAATAAGCAAAAACTTACCAATTTTCAAATATATTTTCAAAAAAAAAATGTTTTCAAAAAATTTATGTTTTATTTATAATTTTTGTGGGTAACTTTTTTCTTTCTTTACACTTTTTCTAAAATTATTATATTTCACTTTACACTGCTTACAATATGAGAACAGCTGTCACTAGGCACAGCCATATTTTAAAACTTATAAGTACACCGCTTTTCCGCTAGAGGCGTCATATTCGGAGATATGTAATTTCGGATTTATTCTCATGCAGGGGACCTATATGCTTAACAAGCAGTGAGTGCTTCTTTATACTACTTCATGGCTTCTGTTCAATAACGAGAGCGACAACTATCGAACGTCGCGCGCAGCGTTAGCAGACGTTTCACAGTTAATAAAATACAAAAAAGTAAACAAACATTGTTTAATAAATAATGAGTTAACTGTTTTCTAATACATTATTTATCTTGTACGGTATTAAAGCGTGAAAAATAAGGAAAATTTTGATCTTTAAACCAATTTATTTGGAGTAGCAGGAAAAAAGTGAATTTTTTTCATTATTTATTGTTGTATTTTTTAAATAAACAATTGTTTTTACTTAAAAAAGTGATTATTTTGGACCTTTATATTAATAAATATTATAAAAAAATGTTTCATTTAATTTGAAAAGGTTACTCCAAAAAATGCTAAAAAAACTCATGGAATGGCACATATATATATATCAATGTACGGCCTATACGCTTTGAATTCAATTCTCACATGTATTCTTCTCATGGGAGTTTAATATGATTCATAAATGGATTCAACGCATAGCAAAGTCATTTTCCATGTACTCTACTTGTCCGTTTACAAGCGAACAATATATTAGATTCAATCTCAAATTTCCTATAAGCTGGATTTACTTTACTGTTATCTAACTTGTATTACCAACAGACTATCATATAGTTTATTCTGGAACTTTTTCGTCTTCTAAGTTTATTGTTGTGACAGTTGGCTAAACCTCAAGTCATTTAAGAAGAAGAAGAAGATTATACAAGCTCTTCCAGCGTGCGTTGTGTAGTTAGTTGGTTAGGGTTGCGATCTATCAGTTTTAGGGTGTGCATTCAATTCCCAGCGTTCGAAGATTTTCTGTTAGGTAGGCGATTATTAAGTATAAATAACCGTTAGCGATTATAATGTATGTAAGTGGTGAAGGAAGAACAAATTGTGGGTGCAATAGCAAGATATATGGTGCTTCAATAAATTAAATTTGCAAAATATTTTTTTAAATAAATTTAATGTATGAAAAAATTACTATACTGTCTTAAAAATGTTTGAATGAATATGAAGATTTAATATTTCATACATAGATTTCGTATTTTAATACAGTATACAGTGTACGTCAGTGTGCCTATACGCCGGTTAGCTTGTGTTGTATAAATTCCGCCTGAATATCAGTTGGAGTTCCAGTAAATCAAAAACATATTTTATTGAATATTTTAGATGTAATAAAGACTTAAACATCAACGGTTTGTATACAAGGAGTTGATCTTCTTTCTGTATTTTCAGTCTAAAAATCGAAAATATAACCTAAAGTTTTTTTTGGATCTTAGGTACCTTTTTTCGCTAAGAGTCACATATTAATAGTACTAATCTAAAAACAAAAATTTGAATTACTCATAAATTAATCGTAGGTTTTTGGACTTTTTTATAGACAATTTTTTTCTCTGCAAAATAATTAAATATTTGTTCTTGTAATTGGTCACTGAAAATAAGTCAGCATCCTTTGCTTGTTATTTGTACGTCTTAAATCATTTAGCCCATCGTAAATTTTAAATAAGGATCATCTCGAAGTTTTCAAATTATACAAGAGATTAAAAAAATTTTAAAGTTAAAAGAATATAGGTTTATTCTGTTTCATTGCATTATATGATAATTAGTTTCTTCTATTATGTTATATATTACATGATAATAAAATATAGGATAATAAAATAAAACAAGTTTTGTGATGAGACCTTCTCCCGCAATCCCCATAGCAAGATTATCGGTCATCATCATCATCATCACCACCTTATTGTATTGAATGTTCATGTTCTTAAATATACCAGATATAAATGTGTATTTATTATTTACAAAATGTTTCACTTGAATTATAATGACTTAAAGTTTACAAATTTGGATGTTCCACCATTTAACTTTCTAGTTCCCTCCCAAATTAATATAGTCGAATTGTCTGTGACTGCATACAAATGTTGTTGTTCTAAAGCCCATACGATTGCCACTATTGCTCCACAATATTTTGAGTCATTAATTATTTCTCGGACAAGTTTTAAGTCCCAACTGCTCCAAAACCTAAACATAAAATATTAAAAAAATATACATCTTTAATATTATAAGGTATTAAAGTTAGAGGAACATGGGTAAAACGGTGAGTTCGCATTATTTTTTAAACCAGGTGGTGCCATACAGCGACAATAATAAAATGTATTGGTATAATTTTTATCAATGGAGCTAATTCTGACAACCCACAATGAGCATTCCACACATTCAGTTCATGTTGAACCCTAATTCGAATGTTTTCCTGATTTTAAAAAAGAAGTAAATATTGGAAATCTTAGTTTAACATAAAAACTAATTTAACCTTGTGAAAGTGTATTCCTTTACAAACAAATTAAACTATTGTAGGTTAGAAAATGTTAAACTGTAATTACACAAAATTCATTTCATTACAAAGATGGTTTTCGGGCAGAAGGGGGATTTATTCTATCTCTTGAAAAAATTTAATATAATTTGTGCATTTATTATAGAATGGTGCGTATTTTTAAAAAGCAATTTTTAAATTTTTAACTTTTCGTATTTCATCATTTTTGGCAAATTTTGTACTAATTTGAATATTAAAAATTTCTTAATATTTAATTGTTAATGTTTTCAATTTGTCCTCGTTCTACCCCATCATTGAAGCAAAACGGAGAGAAAGTAACTTTGGAGAAAATACATGTTATTAAGTTGTAATTATAATATTTGCTCTTTTTCATAATTCTACAACTGCACAAAGGTTCCACCTAAGTATTCATATAAAAGTTATTGAAAAAAGTTCCCGTTGTAGCCCATGCTTTCCTAGAGGTCTCGTATTATTTCTTACTTTCAGGTTTAAATTTTGATTCAAGTTCGATTGCATTTCCAAAACGCAATAAAAAGTCTATATTATGTTACAAACTTGTGACAATAAAAAAAAATTTATGATAAACTAATTCTATTGTGTTTTAAACATAGAACAAAATTAAACATTATTGTCCAAACCTAGAGAAAATATAAAATCAGATTTGATTTAGTGTAAATCGTTTCTAATAAAAAAATGAGATGTTTTTGTCAGGGAAGTACCCAGGATCATGGTGAGATACTTTGGATAGATTAAATGTTTCGCGCGAAAGTTGACTGAACATACCAGAAGTAAGATATGTGGTATTTAATTATGAAGACCAGAGATTGGGTGAAGTTTGGTTCATATGTGGACCTAATTTTTTATTATTATGAGGCACTGAGAGTTTAAAAACGTGTTCAAAAAAGTACAAGTCAGTGAGAATCTGATTCATCACTCTAACAACATGCCCTTGTCATAAATAAGTAACAAAACTTTTAATTATTTATTTCTTTTTTACGAATAATTAGGAATAAAAATGTTCTATATTCAAAATTAAATTATTCAATATATACCAAACGAAGTGTAAACTTGAGAAAAATTAATCATCACTTTCAATACGTAAACTGACATCCGATGTAAAATATTATTAATTCATGAATATTTTTGAACATTTTTTAATTTTATTTAATGCAAAATAAGTTTATTTACAAAGTGCAAGTCAGAATTCCCAGTGGGCATGTTACATGGTACATGTTCGTTCAAAGGACATCCTAAAGACATCTTATGTTCTAAAGACGTCTGTAGGATTTGTTTTCCTTTCAGAAATACATATAGTGTATAACTTGTGTACAGACCATGTTTATTATACGTTTTTGGGGTCGCTGAAACTGAATCCGCTGTCTATTTTACCCCATTAAGCACGGACTAGTAATAAGGAGGTGGATCTCCTATTTACATGGTTCTAACGGAAAGTGTATCTTTGTTTTGCAAGAGTAATGTTCTGAGTTCCCTAGCAACAGTAGCGCCACTTGCGGTAATTGTGCAAACGAATATTGTTTGAATTTAAAAATCATTCTGCTTCGAGCACGTGCTAATAAAAAAAACACATGGTTTGTTTATTTATTATAACAACAAAAAAAAAATAAATAAACTCGCAAATGTTACCTTTTAAAGGTTGAAACTTACGTAATTTTTGAAAAATAGAGATTTTGTCCCCATTTACCGTAACTGACGCAAACAATTTTTACGGTTTTAAATAATTTTATTTTAAACGAAACTTTTAATGATACAACTTTTTCATGTATTAATGAAATAAAGTTTATATATTTAAGTTTTCAGAAATCAAAGAAAATTAAAAAAAAATTTAATGGCGGAGATATGTCGATTCTTGTGTAGCCATGCTTTTTGCAACGGTGGGCATGATAACTCGAAAAATATTTGACCGCTTGACTTAAAAATTGAAACACAACTTCTTTAATAAATTCTTTATAGAGTGACGTAGCCGTTTTTATTAAAAAAAAATTTTATGCAAATGATAATACTTTGAAAAATAAAATTTGTTTTCGGAATCGAAGTAGTCAGTTAAAAAAGTTCAGAATTTTTTTTTAAATTAACCGATTAAAAAAACCCTAAAAACTTGAATACATGTACTTTATTTTATTAATGCATGAAAAAGTTGTATTATTAACAATTTGGTAAAAAAAATACTTTAAAACCGTAAAAATTGTTTGCGTGCAGGGTGGCGTAACCCCTTAAATAATTTGAGGCTGATAACTCTAAAATGTAAGATAATATTTTAAATTTGTGTAATATTCCATACGGTTATTGTAATCCCAAGTAGCACGGAATATTGGTTGAATGTCACAGTGATATCAAGTGGGAATATTCCTGTGACAGAGGAACATTCCCTCAATATCACAGAAATTTTCCGCTCAATATCACAGGGATATCCCCTCAATATTACATGAATTTCACGAAAATATTCCCTCGGTATCATACGAATGTCACAGGAATATCACCGCGGAATGTCCCCATGAAGCGGACATTATGATATCGCCTGAATGTCACAAGAATATTCTCGCTTGATATCACCTTGACATTCAAGCAATATTCCGTGCTACTTGGGATATTAATTTTTAAAAAAAATTTATAGTAATTTCCTAAATAACATTTAATACTTTTAAATTAATTAAACATGAAATTAAATTAAATAATTTAAATTACATTAATAAATATTTAAAACAATAAATAGGAAAATTATTAAAATAAATAAAATGCATTAGTAATAAAAAAATAAATTAAAATTATTACAAAAAAATTAAATAAATATTTTTAATAACTTTAAGAAAATCTAAAATCTGAGATTATAATAATATAAAGTAATCTTTTATAAATTTCTTGCATTAATTTTTTTTCGTTAATTAAATATTTTATAACAGTTGCAATTTAAAAAAAAAATTTAATTATGTGAAAAACAATGTGATAAAAATTGATTTGCAGCTGACCCCAGCAGCAGAAAACAAAATATTTCCCCTGTTTCCATAAAATTTACACAATTACCCGTAATTACTTTCTTTAAAGATAATAACTTCGTTAGTACAATGAAACGATTGATTATTATATCAAAATGATGAGGTAAAATGGACAACGGATTCGGTTTCAGTGACCCCAAAAAAGTATAATAAACATGTTCTGAAAAATAAGGTCAAAATCCTGAAATGATGAGGCAAAATGGCCCACGAATTCGGTTTCAGCAACTACAAAAAACGTATAATAAACATGGTCTGTAAAGAAGTGTTTATTTTTGGAGTTTTAAAAAGGACGTCTGATTTAAATAAAGATATTGTGTAAAATAAATTTTCATACCTAATAATTCCATTCTCCAATCCTGTAGCAATAACATTGACAGAAATACCTTCGGGTGCATTACTATAAGACAATGCGCTTATTTTTATTTGAGATTTTATAGTTCCTATATTTCGAGCGTTAATTGTATATACTTTCAACACTGATTGAATTGAAGAATCATTATCGGTGTTTCTGGATACATTGAAAGAAACAGCAAAATCTCCAAGTGTTTCACTTATAGAAATCAAGGAAATAGGACGCCCTGCACTGCATACTATAGATCGAATGTATGTAAAGCTGCAACCAATATAAATAAATTTAACAAAACTAATACTAGGAGTAGGATAAAAATTTTATAAATATAATCATATATTGTGCTGCACTTGTTAACATTTTACAAATAAACTGTTCGCTGGAAAAACGACTTAAGTCGATTTTAGATATTTTGTGAAAACTTAAATTTAAGATTCATTTATAAGTTATAAGAGATTTAATGCATTATTATCCATATTTTCTTTCCTACTACAAAGATTTACTACTAGTCATAAAATTTTCACAGTAAGGGCAAAGATTTATGTGTTATTATTAATTTTAAAAGTAAAGAAACATAGAAAGACTTAAGTCGTTTTTCAAAAGATCGAATAAAAAATTCAAAAAACAATTATTTTTAGTAAGAAATAGTAAAATATACACAGAAAAAACCTAGTCTCATTTTTGTTGCAACTCAAAATGAGTCAATGCTAAACGACATAGAAAGTAATGCCACCAACCTGGCTCATTTTTGTTGCCCATCAAAATGAGCCGCCTAGACGACTCATTCTGAGTTCAGTTTTTTTTCTGAGTATATGTCACAAATAATTTTTTGTTACTTTCTTATAGTCTTTATTTATATAAATAATATATAAGGGAGAGTCGGTAGTGGCGAGACACGTTTTGTTTTTTTGTTATAGCACTCACATTTTCAAGAACATCAAGTCTGTATATATATCCATGGACAGGTGTGACTCTATACTGCAAATTTAACTTATACAGTTACAGAACAGATATTGGAAAAAAAGTTATTGCCGATTTACGATAATGTCTCACGACTACCGACATAAAAAATCGTCCGTAGTGGCGAGACACTATCTTAAAATCAGAGTCTTTATCGTTCAAACGTAACAAAAACAAAGGAATCAAAGAGAAAGAGTATAATAATTCATGCCTTTAAATCATAATATTGTATTATTCAATCATAAAAATACAGGCAAATATTTTTCTGATTGTGAGCCGCTAATCCATGTCACAGTTATTAAAAACAAATAAGCTTTTCTTCCTGTTCATCTTTTTCAATTTAAACTATAGTTATGAAAAATATTGTCGACAAAACGTACAAAAATTATATCAAATTCATTAGGACATGTACAATATTATTAGATATAAAAAAGCCACTGCCGACAACAAGTGTCTCGCCAATGCGGAAACAGCATTTTTCGGTAATGACGATGTACAATCCTATGCATCAAACAATAATTCATAGTGCTCTGGAAATTTTGAAGAAAACTTAAATACTAAAGACTCAAAACATTTAACCCTTCAGAAAATTCCGGAAATTTTTATTTATTATCACTTATACCGATGGGAAATAAAACTTTTAAAATATCTTGAAACTGTTATTAACAGTATAGCGATATTTCGTACATCAAAAACGTGTGTATCATATTGAAAAGTTAAAGCACAATAAAACTTGACATTCAGACCAGAAGTGCCAGCACAGTCAGTTCAGCTGTCTGAAATATCCTAATGTCTCGCCACACCGGCTGTCTCGCCACTGCGGACAACGCCTTAAACAATCTTTTATTTCAAATAACAAAGGTTTTACAAGACATTATGAACCGTTCGCTGGAAAAACGACTTAATTCGCGACCTAAACTGTTTTTTAAAAAACTGTTTCTATCGTATTATTTATCATATAAAGTATAATAATGAATTAAAATGGTTGATTTATTAATCATTGTAAAGTTTTATTTCGAATTTTAAATTACGCTTACATGCAGGAGTAGTGAGCTGCGTCGCGACATTCGGCTGGCGCGTAGTTTAAAATTCGAATTAAAACTTTAAAATGATTATTAAATCAACAATTCTAATTGATAATTTTACTTTATATGATAAATAATACGATAAAAACAGTTTTTTAAAATACGGCTTAAGTCGACTTAAGCCGTTTTTCCAGCGAACGGTACAAATATGCTTAATATCATTAAATTAAACGATTATCTCCTAAGTGGCGCTTTGTCTAACATGATGATTACAACTAAATTAACTTTTTAATACGAAATGCAGTATATAAAGGTATTTTGTATTATAAGATGGGTAAATTGTAATCTACTAACCTATTTAAATCCCAAGTAACGACAATGCCGTCAGCGTCGCCTGATATTCCAATATTAAATGTTCTATTAAGGGCAATTACTGTAACAGAATTTTTGTGTGCCAATAAAGTCACAGGTGCGGCATCTTCAAATTTTATATTTCCGTTAGAAGTAAAGACAAAAGAGTAAATTTCAATTCTTCCTGAAAAATAACCAATCCAGAGTTGTACGGAATCGGGTATAGATTTCATGACCGTGATCTAAACAAAACAAAAAAATATTCTAAATTCAGCACAAATATATTATTGTATTTTATTATATACATACCGGGTCAAGACCAGAATATTTAATTAAGGGTTTCGGCGCTTGGTCTTTTTTAAACTTCAATCTTGCAATACTATCATTGCCTTTCCAGGAAACCAGACCTGCTCCTAATGCCAAAATATTTGCTGAAGTATTTACGCCTGGAACATTCATTTTTTTTATTATAACCCAGGTGTTTTTGATTTTTTAAATTTTTCAAAATTTGAAATATAACACAGAAGTATTTTAATTTACTAGTAGTAAACATTTTGCTTCCTCGTGGAGGAAGCTATGTAGTCCTTTCGTTTATAAACTTTTTAAAAATGGTGAAAACAAATTTTCCTCTATATAGAAACATGTTATATGAGATCCTGATCAATTGTCCGGATGTATGTATGTGTGTGTATGTGTGTGTGTGTGTGTGTGTGTGTGTGTGTGTGTGTGTGTGTATGTGTGTGTGGATAGTTTTTGTGAACACGATATCTTTAACAGGTTTTAATGGATTTGGGTAAAATTTGGTAGGCTTATTTAACACATTAATCTCTCAAAAATGACGAGAGGATTTTTAAAAATACCCCAAAAAAAAAATTTTATCGTCTTTTTTCCAAAAATTTTTTTTTAATTGAAAAAATTTTTAAATCGAAAAATTTAAGGTAATATATAATGTAATCGTCTTCTTTATGTCAAGATGAATCGATTGATATATATAAAGTATAGATTTGATTGAAATTTAAAGAATTAATGAAAGTTAAAAAATCAAAAATTCTCATTTTAGCTAAAAAATGATGTGTTTATTTAAATTCATGTTTATATATGAAATAATTTTATTCCCTGCATTGAAACGAATTGATTGGTATATATAAAGTATAGATTTGATTTAAAATTTGAGAATTAATAAAAATTGAAAAATCGAAAATTCATATTTTAGCTAAAAAATTTTGTGTTTTTTTAAAATTCAAGTTGATGAATAAAATAATTGTATTCCTTGCATTAAAACGAATCGATTCGTATATATGAAGTTTATGTTACACTCAAAATTAATTAAAATTTTCTTTATTTTTCAAAAAATTTAATTAATTTAAAACATTTTTAACTCGAAATTTTTTAAATCAATCAATTGAATTGGACAAATTCATTGCTTCCTTCACGAGGAAGCGAATTTTTTGCTTCACAAAATGAGGAAGCATAATGTTTATGAAATAAACATAAAGGACCCCCTCCTTGTTTACTTTATGGAGTAACCACAAAATTTTTTAAGATTTTGTGTATCCCTTACCGTTTTCGAATTATCGAAAAAAATTTATTATCTATAATTTCAAATTTCTGAATTCTATTGAGATTCCATGTAGGATCCCATATTGAATCCCATAAGGGATTACTAGTGGATTCCTACGGAATTTAATATAGTTTTGTATGTGGAATCCCATGTGGGTTTCTCCACTAGGGTCAGAATTACACTTTACACATTATTAATTTAATAATTATTGTCTAATTTATCAAAAATATTGCATAAATTAACACTTTGGATATCTATTTATTACTTACAATTATTGTGTTCACCATTTTTTACTAATTTTTTGAGATTTTGTATTATTGTCTGATCTACAAGTATATCTATTTGCTTCAGGCCAAACAGTGCAATTTTAATTTTTGTATTGTGCAGAATGAAAAATGATAAAATTTTTCTTAATGGGTTTAGTGTGTCCGCTCAAAAAGTTGTTATTTTTGAGAATTTTAAAAAAGTATTCCCTTGAATATTTTTAAACTTAAGGGCTGTATTTGTACGTAATTGAAGAGTAGATCTCGTACTTTAACAGCAATTAGGGAACGTTTGTTAGCATCTTGAGCGATAGCACATATCTCTTAGGTTAGATGTCATTATTTTTATTAGAAAAAATATTTTGTTCACTTCATTTACGTACAAATACATCCCTAAAGTTTAAAATTATTTGATAAAAACTTTTTAAAAAAAATTTCTGAAAATCATCTTAAGGGGAGATTACGGTGATTTTTTTTCAAAACACGAAATTATTTTTTTTCATTTTTGGTTAGTATGACTATTTAAGAACACGGAAAAAATAGTCTAAAGTATTTTCATGGTCTAGAACTGATATGAATTGAGTAGCAACCTGCATCAACTCACAGAGCGCGCGAACGCAGTCGTTTATTCCAGTCGGGTAGCAGTAAACGGCTCAGAGGCACTCACTGCTACTTGACTGACAATACATTACTGGAAAATGATATTTTAGAAGCGAAAGAAGGATCTATGTATGTAGCCAGTATCGCCGATTGAATAAGAATCACTTTTTTGCTTAATTTCTACTTAAAAAACTTTAAACGCGTTTTTCTCAAATCTGCATATTTTCAACTTTGTCACACTCTCATTTTAAAACTATTCAACTAATTAACTTCAAATTTAGACAGTATGTTCCTTGCATATGTAGTTTTCATGTACACTAGGATTTTTAAAATCCATTAATATTTTTAAAAGTTATAAAAAATTTAAATTGCAAAACTGCAATCGGTTTTTTTTCAATGAATATTTCTCATTCTAGTTTACACGATAGCCAAAATAGTACAGATTAAGAAAAATTTTAGTTTTTTCATTTTAAATTAATTGTTCTAGAGAAAAAGTGTGACAAACTTTTAAAATGTACCACTTTCGGCAGCCATTTTTTATTAGATTGTTTAAAATAAAAAAGAAACCAAAATTTTTTTTGACTCTTTAAAATGTATATTTTATCATAAGAAAATTGTAAGTAATAAATATTTTTTTTACTACTAAAAAAATCTTTGAAAAAAACCTCAAAATCTCCGTAATCTCCCCTTAATTTTTTATCATTCACACCGGTATACCCACTTAAACTTTTGACTTTAGATTTGTAATCGTTGCCACTAATAACATCGTGTTGTAAAGAAATTTTTTCATATCCTATCATAAATATATGGGTTGAAAGACTCATTTGAAAAAGTAATACTTGATGCTATGGTTGAAATCAATGATATAGAAATAATCAAAGAAGATACATTAGATTTTCAAGAACCCTACAAAAATATTCAAGTGGAAACATATTAAGGGAGCAATGTAATAGTAAACAGTATTTAAAATATTGGTACGATTAAAAGTCAGCGCAAATTAAGATGAAAGAAAAGAAAATTTTTAGTATAAATGAGATTTTTAGTTGAACGGTCTCCATCGACACAAAGAAAACTCCATTCCGTGACGGCAGTAAATTCTGAATTTTATTAAATAAATGAAAAATATTATTAACAATTTATACAATAGTCGTTCATTTGAATAAAATAGTGCAAATGCTATTCACAGATTGTTTAAAAAAAATTTCATTTAACACTGAAATCAATATATTTTGGAGCTGTCAAGAAGAATAAAACTCCATTCTGTGACCAGTATACATATTCAGCTTTTTGTTAAGTAAATAATAAATATAAATAGTTCTAATAATATTCTTACAATTTGTATGAAATATTGCAAAGACTGTTAACGTTGTTATTAAAAAAACATATATTTCTTATTATAAATAATCAATTTAGACGTTATCCATAGAAGCAAAAGTTTTACTCCGTAACCCCCAAGTTACAAGTTTCAAATGGATCAAATTAATTTTTAAAAATTTGTCCGCTATTTTGGATCCGCCATTTTGAATTTTTGAAATCTAACCACAGATTCGTAATCAGCGACCTCAAAAACCCACGAGTAACCATTTTCACGAGAATTCGGTTAGTATACTTCCAATAAAAAATTGAACAATTATTTTTTAAACAATAATATTCATAAAGATTGTAACGGCGTATTTTAGGGGCTTAATATAGTCCCCCTCTTCTCATAGGAATAGTCATATAAATGTTTTTGATATTTTTTTTTAATTATAATTTTGGATTTGTCCTTTTTTAGAGATTTACCCATAAAGATGATGATGTAAATGCAGAATGAAAAACCAAAAATAATGAGAATGAAAGGGATAGTGATATATCCCTGTCCATTTTACTCTCATTATTTTCGGTTTTGCATTCTGCATTTACATCATTTCACTTTGAAAACCATATTTATTTATCATTGAAAGTTGTACATTAAAGTTATACGAAAATTTCTTAATTCTAAGATATATATTCAGCGCCTGTTATTCTAAGTAACTTATCTGAATTTTTCTTTATTTTATTAAAGTTTATATGAGAGATTCTTTTTCAATCGCCCCAGCCCAAAAAGTCAATGTTCTAGGATTGGCTTCATACTTTGGTAAATTATTGCCCTATATGATTGTAATAAATCCCTAAAATATAAACTCATTAAAAAAATATTTGTAGAAAGTAGAGGGGGTTGAAATTTTGACGTTAAGGGTAACATTGTCATTTTCAAATCCGTATAACTATGACCAAAGTTAATGGATTTTAATTTATCTATAATGAATTTTAATGCATTTTTCACGTACTTTTCAAAAATGTTTACGAAATTAAAAAAAAAAATTGTTGACCTCTTTTTTCAAAATCAACCCTTATTTTTCGATTTCCACCCCTTCGGGTATTTTTTTTTATTTTCATTGGAAAGCTGAGGTTTTTTCCCATGAGCTATATAAATATGAAAATGGGACAAAAATAATTTTGTGAGAAACAGAATATTAAAGTAGGCGGTGCCTACCTAAATCCTCAAAGATGATCTCCAGGTATATCCCTTATCGGCACCGCCTACTTTAATATTCTGTTTCTCACAAAATTATTGCTGTCCCATTTTCATATTTACATAGCTCATGGGAAAAAACCTCAGCTTTCCAATGAAAATAAAAAAAAAAAAAAAAAAAAAATACCCGAAGGGGTGAAAATCGAAAAATAAAGGTTGATTTTGAAAAAAAGGGGTCAAAATTTTTTTTTTTAAATTCGTATACATTTTTGAAAAGTACGTAAAAAATGCATTAAAATTCATTATAGATAAATTAAAATCCATTAACTTTTGTCATAGTTATACGGATTTGAAAATGACAATGTTACCCTTAACGTCAAAACTTCAACCCCCTCTACTTTCTACAAATATTTTTTTAATGCGTTTATATTTTAGGGATTTATTACTATCATATAGGACTACAATTTACCAAAGTATGAAGCCAATCCCAGAACATTGACTTTTTGGGCTGGGGCGATTGAAAAAGAATCTCTCATATGTGTACCAAATTTCAGCTTTCCAGATAAATTCGTGTGGCCGCTAGGGGGGGGGGTACACGATTTCAAAAAAACCGATATTAATAGGGTTCCGAACCGAGTACGGAACCCTAAAAATGACTAGAAAACTAAAAGGATAACAAAAATACTTATAAACTAAAGAAATACTCCAAACAAAACAGTATTTTAGTATAAAAATAGATGTCATTTATAGTATTATATGATTAATGCATAAGGTAGTTTGTGTTTAATTTTAAATGGAGCATTGTCCCTGGAATATAACTTAATGTTATATCTAGAGCTTTATTATCTTTTATTTGTTCAGTGTAAAATTTATATGTTAAGTTTAAAATATTTATGAATATTTCATCTATTTTTAATATTTCTCTAATTTTTGAGTTTCTAGTTCTAGGATTTGTATTAGAAATACTTCTTAAAATTTTGTTTTCAAATGACTGTATATATGTCACAGCAGCACTACTCCATATTGGTACAGCATATAACAATACTGGTTTTATAAAAGTTTTATATAACAACAATTTATTCTTAATGCTAAGTTTACTACTTCTATTGAATAAGCAATGTAAAGAACGACTTATAATATATCCTTTTCTATGATTCTGTTTTCGCTGCATTAATTTTCAGTTTCCATCTATGGTAGTACCTCTACTGAATACCGTCTGGTCCAGGGGCTTTTAGGTGCTACAAAACGCAACATTTTTCTAATTTCACTTGGTGATGATAATGCTATAGTATTTATATCTATTTCAGTATTTCCAAGAGTTTTATAAATAGTATTAACTTCCTTATCTTTTAAATTATCACCCATGTTTTCAGTGAGATGATGCACCTTCTCGAAATTATCCTCCAAAACATTCGATTTTTCTAAATCACTATAAACTAGACCATTTGGTCCATGAAGCTTAGCAAAATAGCCTAAGTAAGGTTTGGTGAATGCTCTGGCAGTTTTCCAAAGACTATTATCTCTAACTGTTAAATTTTCCAATTTATTATTGCATACTTCATTATAGTAAATTTTAATTTCTTTTTTAATAATATTTGAAAGTCTATTTTTGGATACTCTAAAATATTCTAGATTAGTTCTTTGACAAGCTTTGCGTAATTTATTCCTTTCTTTTATTAATAATTTTAAATTATCAGGCAAAGGTGTACGAGCCGCTATGTGAGATACTTTAACTTTTGATATAGTCTAATCCATGGCACCATTCACTAATTTTGTTAAATTTTCAATTGAATTATTTATGGAATTAAATGAATCCTGATTATTGCATATAGTTAAGTTTGAATGTAAAAATTTTCTAAATTTCTTCCAATCAGCTTTTTTGTAATTTAATAAAGTTTTTCTTGATCATAATTTTTTTTTCTTAATAATCATTAAGTGTTGAAATTATAGGCAGATGATCTGAATCCAATTCATCCAAAACTTGAATTTCAATATTACGGTTAATATTTTTATTTAGAGCTAAATCTACAATTCTACGTAAAGTATTATGTGTATACGGATATAAAGTGGATGTATCAGGAGCAATTATGTCTGTTAAATTGTTGTTGGCAAAGTCAAAAAGAGTTTTACCATTTTTATTATTATTAGTACAGTGCCAAAGATTATGCTTAGCATTAAAATCTCCTACAATTAAAATTTTATTATTATTATTAAAAATTTGGGAGAGATCAAGAATGTTAATTTTTGATTGGGGATATAAACTGAGACTATTGTTACATCGTTATTAATTTTTACTCCAAGTACTTCAAATAAATTTGTATTATAGTCAATTTGTGAAAAAATGATATTTTGTTTAACTAAAATAGCAACTCCTCCACCTTGCCTTGATCTATCTTTTCTAACAGTAGAAAAACCTGGTGTTATGAAATTAATTTTCTCATTTAGTTTTGTTTCATTAATTAGAAATATGTCTATATTATGTATATCGAGAAAATGCCTCATCTCCCTCTGCTTATCTACAATGCCATTTGCATTCCAATGTGCTAAGATTAATTCCCTATCACAATTCATTTTCAAATTTTTAAATATATTCACTAAATATTATTCCCTGTACTGCTTTATCTTTGGCGTTTTGCAAATCTAAAAACAATTGTTTAACTAATTTTAACATACCTCTTATATTAAATGTAGCTTGTAACTTACTAGTTACTTCAGCAAACTCTCGAAATAGTTGAAGTTCTTCTTCAATAGGAGAATGCGTTGATGATTTTGAAGTAACAGCTTCCTTTTTTCCATTGTTGTTCCATTGTCTTTTTGTATTTCCATTGGTGGCCGCCGATGTCCCAGGTAGACTTGGATAGTTTCGAGCATCTAGTGCAGGTACTGTTTTTACTTGTCGTTCTGGTTTCTTGAGTGTATTGTTGTTGTTTTTATTAAGTCTTACTTGGAAGATTCTTTCTAACCTCTTCTTATACATTTTACAGCCTGTGTAGCTGGCTGGATGATTTCCCTCACAGTTCGCACTGTAACGTCCTGCGTTATTTTATTAGATTTTCAACGTTATGTTCTTTTTCCTCTTAATTTTTGTTTGTAAATTTTGTATCAATTCTACATGGAAAAACATCTGTTCTATCTAAACCACGTCTCCTATCTTTAGTGTAAATTGTTTATCTTCCTTTTAGAACCGATAACGAGACAAAATACTTTCAGTAGTCTACACTCGTGGGATGCACTTTGAAATTTGGAAAATTCAATATTTGTAAACAATAAAAATTAAAGAAAAGAATACACCCATAAAATCTTTTAAAAACTCTAAAGTGCATCCTTCAAAATGTTGACTGATGGGGTCTTTTCCTATCTTATCACTTTCCCACGATAAGTCCAAAAGTTTCTACCGTCAAAAATTATATCTGTTAATCATAAAAACTATCAAAAATATCAGGTTACAAAGTCCGTTTTATTTCAATTTCTTAAAAATAGTATCTCACACGTTGAATTAGTGAATCCTAAATAGTTTTAAATAATTCTTCAAAAAATTTCTTTAATTATTAGTTAAGTTTTAATATTAATGTTTGGAATTTCAAATTAATTCATTATTTATAATTATATATCAAAATTCGAAAAAAATATAAAAAATTCAAAAAATTGTCAAATATTTAATCTTAGCAATTATTTATTGGGCTATATCTTCTTCTTTTGAACGCAGTATTGTCATTTATGTATTTTCACATTCTTTTATGCTGAACACCGTATTGTGAATAAAATATTTTATTTAAAAAATTATTAAATTAATCTAATTATCGGAATTTTGCAAAATTTAATTGAAATATTTTGTGTCACCAAACAGAAATATGATGTCCTCTACAAAGAATTAAAAATAGTTTTTAGAGATTTATTTGTGAATTTTTTGGACTTAAGTACATAAATTTTTTAAAGAAACCGGTAATAAAAAAGAAATATTTATAAATTATCAAATATTTAAAATAATAATTGACACCTGTACCGTTTTACCAGTCGTATGTTATTACAAAATTTGAGTCGAAACTTGAACACAAAAGTTTCATTTTCCTGTCAAATAGCACTACTCATGACACAGCTGCTGTATATACTGCACAGAAAATGATGGTTCCTAAATTACGAAAAATCATTCCTCAGCTGGAAAAAATAATTTATTTTAGCGATGGAGCGAAGCAGCACTTCAAAAACAAATACCAGATGTTGAATCTTACGCAACTGCGTACGGTAAAGGACCTTCAGACGGTGTAGGAGCAGTTTTCAAAAGGGATGCTATGCATGCAAGTCTTTGCAAACCACATGATTCCATCATAACATTTAAAAAACTTGTTGACTGGGCTAAGAGGAATTCACAGAAGACTGAAATAATGTCTTATAATGAAAAAGATCATAACAGAACGAAAAGGTTCTTAAACGCAAGATTTGCTGTAGCTCCACCAGTACCAGAAATTCTAAGAAGTCACTGTTTCATTTTAAATAAAAACGAATTGATAATAAAAAGATTTTCAAATGCTTCGGATATTTCGACTCTTTCTTATAAGAATATAAAAAAGTCAGAAGGTAATAAATCAAATATGATTTTTGTAATTTCTTGGACACTACGACTTTTCGATAACAAATTTTTTAACAATATCGTTAATTCCAGATTGTCAATAGTGTAACTGGTGACTGTTATGTGAAGTGAAGTGAACGAGCCACAGAAAATGTTTTAATTAATAGTACTAATATTAACAATATTAATAATTATATAAATGATATTTTAACAACAATTAATTATAACTAATATTTGTGATTACGAAGGTATGTTTATTTGTAAATGCGTGTATGATGTGTATGATACTTAATAATATTATGATAGAATAGTATGTATACGTGCCTAAAATATGTAAAGTTCGTAGTATGGGAATGAATAGTATCCTTAGAATAATTTAATAAATTTTCAGGTTTTTTCTTTAAAGATAGTTGCTGGACCAATTAATATTTTATAATAATTTGTTCAGCTCTACCTTTTAAGAGTTTTTCCTACCGTTTATCGGTAATTTTGTGTTTCATTGACTTTTTTAATCTGCTGCCTCTTTTTCAGGATTTATATTAGGTCCATCACTTTAAATTTTTTAGAGAGAACGTCAAAATTGTAGTCAATACAATACTGCGTTAATAAGAAGACGATATGACACAATAAATAATTACTAAAATTAAATATTTACAATTTTTTTGAATTTTTTTTAGTTTTTTTGAATTTTGATAATAATAATATAAAATTCAAAAATTTTGCCACTCACCATTCGAAAGCTTACATTTTTCTGAAAATTTTAAGGGGTATTTGAACCTTTTTGGATTAAATTTATAGTGGGCAGCATGGATGTAAAACTGAGAAAGAATGCCCCATATATACATATATATATATATAAGTATGTGTGTGTAATTAAATGCGTAAATTTTCAATATTTTGTAATTAAATAATCATCAAATCATGTATTTTATAAATAATTTTAATGATTTTTGTAATTTTGAAAATTCGTTAAAACGTGAATCTTGGCTTCATCTTTTAAAAATAGTGTAAACTATAGTTCCCCACTTTTTCAAGACACCCTAATCTTAAAGATACGCCCACGCAAAGTCATCCCTTGCAAAGGCTGGGCCAGAAAAGACCCAATGACATCTTTCTTTTAGATAAGTTCTTCTATTTTGTTTCATAAAAAAATCCAATCATTGATCTTTTTAACTTCCCACTCTAAAAAATATTCATCCCCTAAATTCTTACCCAACAAAAAAATTTAAGTAGGGATAAAAATATAAAAACTAAAGATTTGAATTAAAAAGTCAGTTCTCCAAGTTCTTTTCAAATTTCTAAGTTCTCTAAATTTTTCAAATCTCTCAGCTTCTTCCAATTTTCCTCCAAGTCTCTAAATTTTAACTCTTTGTTTTAATTCTCAAGTTGAATTTTATATTGTTAAATTTCTTAAGTGACGAGTCAAGTTTTTAATCATTCTAACAAAAATTCATCATCTTCAATAAATACGAAGCCAAACATCTAAGATCCAAATTTAAACGAGTTTTGAACAATATTCAGCTATTATAAATAAAAAGAAAAAAGTAAGTACTTTTATTGTATACTAAATTACTTTTCTCCTCTCATCTATTTTTTTGTCATACTTCTAGTTCCGAAGGACGTAGTGCGATTAAGTTGCGCATTTTAGTTCCTTCAATCCTTAAAAAGATTTGATCGTTATTTTTTTTATTAAATACCTTCCGAAAAGATTTCAGTGTATTTAGTGCATTATTATCTTTTTAATCCTTTTAAATTCACCTTTAAATAAAACAAACCAATTTGAATGATTCCTGAGTTGTGGACTCAAAAATAAATTAAAATTTACTAACTATGTTGCGTTGTCGGACGTAACAGCACATTTGGTTGGAGTTCCCTCTTGTTTTTGACATGTTCTGGATTCATGTTCTTCTTCACATTTTACGCATTTTGGTCTATTATAGCAGTTTTTGGTGCCATGACCAAACTTTTGACAATTATAACATTGCGTTATTTTCTTGGGATTTTTGTAGTTTTCCCCATGGAGAATAGACTTCAGGAGACCAATCTCGTGTATGTGAAATGAGCGTTTTCTTGTTGTAAGCTATTAGTTCTGAAACATGTCGCGCGCGGCGCAGCGTTCGCATAGTTTCTTCTAATTTGAAAATGAAAGTGCTTCTTGGTTCAAAAATATATTTCCCGGTAAAGTTTAAGCTTAAGCTTAAAAAGTAACTAAATATACCAAAATCATTAAAATTTTAGGTATTACTTTACAATGTTAAAAATATATATTTAAATAATAAAGATTTTCATACAATGATTATTTAGAGAAAATTATTTTTACACAATTACATTTTATATGATTTAAGATTTCAATATATATATATATATTTTATATATGCATTTTCTCTTGTTTTCTTTTTAAATCTTAACTTAAAAATACATTTAATTCAGGTTATGTTTCACTCATCAAACAACTGATAGATAATAAACTTAAATAAACTGTGGAAAGAAACTATGCGTTTCTTTCGCCACCTGTCGGAACGTACAGAGTACTACCGCTGAACTTGCAACAACTCCCAGCCCCATTTTAGTCAAGCGCATGCATGGGAGATTGGTCTCCTGTAGTCTATTCTCCATGGTTTTCCCAAACAATTTTTGTGTAAAATAAGACAGTCACTTTTCTTAATTTTTGAATTTTAATACTTGGTGTTTTGTTATCCATATAAACTATACATATATGGAGGATACTCCTGAGGTCTGTCCTTCCAGATTTTCATTTTTCATTTTCTTTTTGGTTCAAAGCCCAAATCTTTCAATTCTGATATTATTTCGGAAGGTTCGATCTTCGGTAATCCTTTTTAATAACCAGTTTTTTATCATTTTCCATTGGAGTATGTGAAAAAAGGTGTCGAGTTTTTCACACAGAGATTTTTAATTGAAGTGTGATCCTCCATATCTTTTGGATAGATTCCATTAGGTGAAATCTTGAGGATAGTTCCTTTAATAGACGCGAGCCAAACGCCTTCGCCTTTTAGTGCAATGATACAAGCTTTCAAAACGCATACGATGTGAACACAACGAAGGTTCGAAACAGAATTAGAATTACTAATAGAATGACGAAATGAACAACTAAAAGGTTGGTTCAATAATTGCATTTACATCATCACGTAAATCCATTCTTATATTTGATTTTTCATCATCCTGGAGGTCATTCTAGTATTACGAAAGCATGTAAGGAGAAGGGAGGGGTTCCACAGTTGCTTATGCACCCAAGAAGACAAGAGACAGGAGGAGTAACTCAGGTGGTGGGGATGTCTTCAAAAGTGAGGGCAATGAATGAAGATTCTCTCTGCAAAGGTAGTTCGTGCGATAACCAAAAATGGTTCACTGCGCAAGTATATACAGAGCCATAATATAGCAGAAGAGAATGTGTCAAATCGCACAAGGCAATGTTATGATAGAGAGGTTATAAGTAAAAATATTATTATTTATTATTATTATTAATCAGAATAATATTATTATTGCAGTTCTTGGCGAATTTTCGAACTGCACTTCAAGGTATTTTATATAAATTGCAGGTCTCGAATTATACAACTTTTTATAATTTTTTTTTATAAAATACGATTTTTTTCGACTTATTTTAATAAAATGCGATTTTTTAAATAATTTTTTTTACAAATTTGTAAACAAATTACGGTCTTTTATCATACAATGCAAATCTTCGTTAGATCTTCTTTATTTCAATTATTTAACAAATTTTTAACTAAAATTTTAATTAGTTCAGTTGTAATATTAGATTGGCGTGAGGATCAAATAAAGAAACCTTTTTCTTTTTTTAAGAAATTGTCAGACGTTTCTGCTCAAATGGGAGCCTTCATGAGTGACGTAATTTATTGTCAAAAAGGTTTCATTATTTGATCCTCACGCCAATCTAATATCACAACTGAACTAATTAACAATAAAGGATCTATATAATTCCAAACATGGATAAAATTTTAATTTTAAAAAAATAAGCAAATAAAATTATAAAGAAATTTTAATTCAAAATGACTTGAAACTTAATTAATTTCAAAAATTTCAACTTTAACTCTTCCAAAATTGTTATTTAATAAAAAATTTTATTTAAAAATCTGTAAAACTTGATTAATTATTTCCTGACATTTTTTTACTGTCAAAACTAAAAACTGTGACAAAATTTTAAATTTTAATATATTGCTTAAATCATACTTCCAAAAATTATAAAAATGGAACTTTAAGAATTTATTTTAGAAATTTGTCCTACTTAAATAAAATTTTAAAAATGTGTCTAACAATTATTTGGATGATTCTTAAATAATCGAAATAAATGTTGATAATATTTTTATAGAATTAATAAAATGAGTTTAATATCTAATAACATTAGTTATTTAAGAGATAAAAATGTTTTCAAATTAAATTACTTATTTAAAGTAAAATATTCATTAACCAATTAAATTTTGTTAAAATAAAAAAAAAATTTCAGATTTTTTTAAAATATAAATCAACTATAACGTTTTTTTGTGTATTAAAAGATATTATTTGTACTTGTCATTATAATAATACTAAAAGTTTTTTTTGTATTTTAGAGGCTGATAATAAATTTAATAAAATGCAATCAGTGTCGGAAGATAACTTGAAAGATTGTCAAAAAAAACATTCGATTAATTGTTTTTGTCAAATTATGTTTTATTTATCAGCCGGCGAAAACCCATGTGCGCCAAGAATACTAAATACATGTAAACCGATAAATGTATTAATATGCGCAGAAGCCCAATTTTAGTCTACTGCACCGACTACTTGTCAAGTACGCCACCTTCATTGCCCTCATGTTATATGTCACTATTCTCTATAGGACTCAAGCAAAGTTACTCCTCCTGTCTCTAGTCTTCTTGTTGTGAACATGAACGTTTCACCACGTGGTCGACTATTTCATTTATCAAAATCCGGATTTGGAATAAAGTTTAAGAAAATGTAAAAGGTTTCTAATATAAAGCTCCCGAACCTCTGCTACAGATACAGATTACAAAATTATACTTGAAATTAACCTTTATAAAGTTATACAATTTCCACTTGTTCCTGACCTAATAAATTATTCAGATATTACAAGCGAATAGTTTTCTCACAAGTACTAAAAAGTTTCAATAGTTGGAAAATAAGAGTGTTGAGACATGGATTGCTGATTTGGGACTCTCTATTTCAATATTTCTATATAGCCAGTAAGAACCAAAGCGAAGTTTGACATTTATTAGGAAATAAATCATTTTAAACTCAAATGAAGACTGTAGTTACATATTGTAATTAGCCTGGATACGAGAATTTCAATATTAGAACTAGGCACAAATGTATAAACTTGGCCTGATCAAATAATAGATTCTAAATTAATTGTGTTATATTAGTCAACAAAATTCTTATTTGCCTAAACGAATTAATAAACTTATATACAAATACAACTTAGCACTGAATAAAAGTAGCATGATTTTTAATTACTCTCTTCTTCAAGTACAATGTGGTTTTTATGCTTCTTAAGAAAAAATACCTATCATTTTTATAAAAACTTGAATCAAGATAATGCTAAGTTAGTAAATTGAAAAATATTAAACCTAATAATTGATTCTAAGAAATTACCTTTTTCTTTGCTGTATCCCAATAAGAGAGTAGTGTGATGCGGTAATCCAAAAACGTCACCTGTTAACAATGGAACTAATGAAGCCAATGGGAACCTATGTTTGTGTTTCCAGCAGAGTACAGGATCATTTCCGGGTGCACCGACGTAATTACCCCACTTTATTCCACTGATACCATCTACAACGGGAGGAATACTATTTGGTGGCAAAGAAGTCGAAATATTTGAGGATTGTTGAGGGTGAGCAGTTTTAAATAATTGAGCAGGTGTTTGACCATAAGTTCTAACCATAGTTTCCCAAGCTTGACGTTCTAAAGGATCAGTAATGTCTTCAGCATTAAACCCATAATAAGTTGCAGGATGAAAAACATTAATTGCATCTACCGCAGGTTTTCCAGTTTGTTTAAAACCAAACACTAAGTCGATCCAAGACGGCAAATCTTTTCTTACAATGTCTGACTCTAAAGCTGCTCTGTGAACAAGAATAAAGAGTCTAGCGTCGTTTTTAGCCCATGGTGGCAATTCCACGTCTGTGACTCTAATTCCATTTTGTCGTACTCCAAAATTGAACCCTTCCGTATTAAGTAGAAACTCGGGAAGATAAAAAAATTCTGGAATCAATTCTTTAACATCTGTTGTTGAATCACAACTAGTCAACCTCCATGTTGTGGCAAGGGCGTGAAATGTACGATCAGGAATGTCAAAATTGTCATCTTGGTAAGAAAGAAACATACTGGTATAAGGCGGTAGTCGCACTAGAAAATGTAAAACTGTGCCTGAGTTGCTATAATGAGAACCATAGTGAAAAGGTTCTTGATTTAATGCAGTAAGATTTAAGCCTTCGTTTGCAGCTTGCTTCAAATAGTTATAATTATTGATATAATGTTGCTCATTTTTTGAATCCTGCACAGCCATTGGTTTCCTAAAGTTCCTGTAAATTTTCGGTTTATTCAGATCAATATTCTCACTTGTGTAATCTGATAATACAAAAGGAAAAACCGGATATTGCATCAAATCGTTATAAGATCTACCAGATAATTTATTCAAACATGTTATGTAATCCCAGTTCGTTAGGTTTCCATTACGCCAATGAGCTAAATTCTCTTCCAAGTTATCTCCAGGTATACGCCTAGAAAGATTACATGCGGATAATTCTGTGACAAATTCTTCCCTTTCTTTTGAAGAATTGAAAGCTAAAAGATAAGTTCTGCCTGTTACAAGAAATATCTCGATTGCTCTTTCTTGTAACTGATATCTTCTTCGATGAAATTCCAGTATGTTATCTAATCGCCAAGCTGTAGCCCCTCCTGTTGTGAGATCCGTTCCTCCTACTGTTATGTCTATTTGTATTGTTGCATCAGAAGTGTCAGGAATAAAATATAAACGAGTTTCACCAATCAGAATTTCTCCCGCTAATTCCGCATGAGGCATAACAATACTCACTGGAGACATTTTGTTAATTCTCTCATTAGTGTGGAGTCTTTCAATCAAAGTAGCTATAGTTGTATCTTGTTGATCGGAAATAAATAAATAAGATAATGGACCTTCTAATTTGTCTGTACTTAAATTTTTTTGACAATCAAACATGAAAAATTTTTTATCTATATCTAAATGACATCTTTGGAGTCTTGTTCGTATTCTAGAAGGGCCTTCTGTAGGATCAAGTTCCCAATGCATGGGGTAATTTTCTTTAAAATACCAAGGTGCTCGTTCGTGAGTTAAACGTTTTATTAGTTTCCTCCATCTAGACATTGTTTGAGCCTTTATAGCTTTCGAGGTCTTTAAATTTTCAATTAATATTTTTCTTTCTCGATTTTGTTCTTCCACAATTGAGACAGTTATAGACATTGCACTTTCTATAAGCTGTTTTGCAATGACGTCAAACTGTTCGCTAATTTTTTTCATTTTTGGAAAATTATTTTCAATCCAAATGTTACGGTCTTTAACTAATTCTTGCCTTAAAAGATTTAATTCTTCCGACCAAAAAGTCGAACCTTCCATATCTAAACATTTTAACAAACCCCAAACGTTGAGAGCATTTCGCAGCTCACTGCAAATTAAAGCATCTGCACTTGACATCTCTCTTCGACATAAATCCCACAAAAATATAATAAATTTTTGTTCAACTTGAGGATGAATATTCAAGAGAGAAGTTAAAATGTCCTTTACTTTTGGTTCATCCATAAGAATCCTGACGGCATAGATTCTAGTACAAATGTTTTGATGAGGTGCTAATAACCAAACCAATATTTCTGCTGAAATTTTTCGCAAAGTAGGCCTTGATGACCATGTTCCACCCCATGGACTCTTTTTTCCTAATGGATCAGATAAACCGTGGAGAAGAGTTGAGAATAATCTTTTTGATAATTGCAATTCTTCTTCAGATTGCACACCATCACCCGATGTAATAAAGTCGACAGCCTTATTTAACACCATACGAAATCTGTCATTCAATTCTCCTTTAGCCAGTTCCCGTGAAATTGAAGTAAATGTTTCAAGCAAACTTTCATTGCTTGAAGATTGCAAACCCTTGTCAAGTTGCTCACCAGATGTTGTTAAAACTGATGTTAAATATGAAGCTGACGCTAAATATGAAGCAGTGTTTTTCAATCTAAAACCTGACTCATTTAAAACTTTTAAAGTTAAAGAATCCAGTTCTCCATCAAAAAGAGCAACCTGGGCATTTCTAATAACTGAAACACATAATTTTTCTTTTCCACAGTTCATTTTTTCTTGTAACTCTACATAACTCAGCACTAAATGTAAATCTGTAAGTGCTTGCATATTATGATATCCTGGAGATTCTAAAAATTGCTTTGCAATTGTGACAAATAATACATTAATATCTCGAGAAAGGATTGATGAATTTTCTTTATGAGCAGAGTGTATTAGGGATCGTACTAGGGCTTCCTTCAAACCTTGTTCCAACATTATTTTTAAGGAATGAGGATTCTTAACAATAATATCTGTTAGGAAGCTAATTATGGGTTGTGCAAGATTTGGGTCTTTTGCTGCTGTTTTTGACATCATAGATAATAAAGGTGGCGTAGCACAAAAACTGGGCCCCTTCAAAGCCAGATTTGCAAGAGCAACTATTAGCGGCTCGCTTCCAGGGTAAAGAGAAATTTGATTAGCAAGGTGCATAAAGTACTTTTGTTTAATTAATTTATTAATATCCTCATCGCTAGCTCTCTCTATATAAGTCTGTATCACTTTAATTAATGCAGTTCGAATTCGGGCGTTCTCATTATTTGACAAAACAAGTATTAGTTCAGCACGCAGTACGTGTTTGAGGACTGAATCAACCTGACTATCAGGCAAAACTCTCAAAGCGTCTCTGAGCAATAGGAGTAAACCTTCGCAGACTAATCCCATACATGATTTTCGTTTATCTGTATAAACTTTATGACCTTCATTTTGATTTGAACAATCACTGGCTGCAATGCCTGAATCTTCTCCTGTATTTATTTCGTGTGGTGGTTCCCTTTGCTTTTCTTTTTTTCTTGTTTTTCCTTTTTTTATTTGGTTATTTGTGTCTGCTTTATTAAATTTACTGCTTTTTATTAATTCATTTGATGAAGTAACAGACTTTGTCATGTGTGGTGTAATTTTTTCGAAAGCAGGTAATATAAAATACATATTGTATTTTGAGTGTGTAACGTAAGTATTTGATGCCATATGAACAAGAAGCAAATAATCTGTGATAGCCACAAGATGCGAAAATTTTGGAGGAGAACCCATTAAAGAGCGAATTAATTCTACAATGGTATTTCCAGCAGTAGGATCCAATAACTCAAGGTTTTCGTACAAAAAGTATTCTTTGCATAAATTTAAAATTGTGTTGACAAACTGAATTCTATTAAGTTGAAAAGCATTGAATTCTCTTTGTGAATGCTGATCTCTTAATAAGTGCAGTAAAGATTGTAAAAGTAAATTAAGAGTATCATACTTTAACCAAATTCTCCAAGCTTCTAAAGCATATTTAATCAGTTCTGGATCTGTAATTAAAGTATTGCAATCATGACAAATCAGATGTATTTCATTTCTGATATCTTTGATAAATAAAGAACTGTCACAGGCTGAGTCCAAAATTGCTTTTAACATATGTCTTCCAACATAACAACGTTTTGATTCCAAAACTTGAAGAAGAAGAGAAGGTATTCCATCTGATCGGTACTGATTTAGTAGAACCGAATCGCTATGCGCGAGATTTAAAACAATCGAAAGTGCTAAAGCTTGTTCTGCTTCACTGGAGTTGAGTTCTATTACCCGAGCGAATAAGAATAAAAAAATAGAAATTCCACCAATTTGTTGAACGGCAGGAATTAGACCTTTGCACTGTTTGCTTTCCAGCTGAGTAAAAACAGTCGAAGATACTGAAAGAGGTGGTTGTTGAGAAACTCGATATTCTGGTGCCATAGTAACTCGGAAAGCAGATTGTCCTGGTAAAATATTCCGTACTATTGCTTCCGGACTGCTAAGAGCCTGAGGATACAAATGAACAACTAATGGACTTTGAGCTTCGTAACTAAGGAGCAAATTATTCTGTAAATCTCTAAGCTGAGTATTTGTAGCGTGTGTTACGAAATCCCAATCAATAGTCTCATCAAAACTCTTCGTTTCTGATGCATGCCGTAAAAATGTTCCTCCGTATGATTTCCTACGGCTTGTATCAAATTTTCTATTTTCAAATTTTAATTCTTGAACACCACTTAGTGCCACGGATGTTATAAGAGGTAAAAAGTTTGGTTTCTCATTGCTTAAAGTGCACTCAGCTAAATTCGTATAATTCGGTCCCAGACTCGCAAAGTAAAGGGCTTTCTTTCGAGTGAAAATCGGACTTCTAAAAATAAATAAATTTCCAAGATACCAAGCGCCATATTCATTGTGTCCAACTTGTCCAAGGAATATACAAGTTGTTTCTGGTTTTCTTATAAGTAAACCATCAAAGGGTAATTGAGCGACAACTTCTTTCCATCCGTCTATCCATAAAACAACCTCTACCATTGCATCATGTTTACTTAGCACAGTGTATTTAAAATTAAAAGCTAAGTGATGCCATTTTCCAGATGGTAGGAGACCATTAAGTGATGTCTCTGAAATAGAACGATTCGTTTTACCATCTGGTCTTGAAAGGCGTAGAATAAGTTTGTCAGCTTTAAGGTCTGTCCATAATTCTAAAGCGACAGATTTTAAACAAACAGACATTAAATGAACAATTGATTTTGACGTTGGAAAATATGATTTATTATTCAAGACTTCCTGACTCCAATTATCCATTGCGATTCCACAGTTGTTTAAGTTTTCACTATTAGGACTAGGCACAGGATTAGAGCTTGGACTGTAACTTCTGTAATTAGATGAATGACCTCTTTCTACTCTTAACCACATTGATGCTGATCCTCCATGTAACCAAACAGTCCAAGATAGTTCTGGGAACACTGGTAAACAAATTGCAGGAGAAGATGACGAACTGCAAATCTCTGATAAATTATGTCTTCTTCGAACGTCACTAACAGAGCCTACATCTCTCTCGGTTTTTATGCTGTCTCCATTGTTATTTTTAATAGATAATTCAAATTGCATTGGAATTGGAAATGAAAGAATGTAATTTGGTTGAGGTTTTGTTAACAAAACAAGACGAGAAAGAGGTTCTAAAAGAGATAGAAGAGATGGATCAGGAATTTTAAAAAAAGACAAATAACTAATTAATTCTGATGAGGAAATTGATTGGATAGCAAGGAGAGTAAAAACTTCCAGAATAGCATGCTGAAGATCTGTAAAATAAAAAAATATAATTAAGATACAATTATTTTTGGTTCAACCAATATTTTAATCTTGAAATTAATTTTTTTACTACTTTACAAGAGTATCCTGCTTTAGAAGGACCAAAAAAACTTTTTTCGTAAATTGTGTTGTTGAAGAAGAAAACAATTCTGACCAGTTGAGAATTTATCAACAAATTTCGAGAAATGTCAGTACATAATAATTCTTATTCAATGTTATGCCAATAAAATTTTTTTTCTACACTTTTGGATAGGCACAAAATTCGCAAGTCTTTAATTAATTTTTTCTAAGATTTAAATATAAGAATTTAGTATAACAAAGATATAAATATAACAATTTAGTATAACAAAGGCCAATGAAAGAACTCGAATTGAATTGAGAGAGTAACAAAAGTTAGTGGAATTTTATTGTTAGAAAAAGTTACGAACTTTGTGCCTATTCAAAAGTGAAGACTAACAAAAAGGTAAGCAAAATTTAATGAAGTTATTCTTTTCGTGTATATATGTTTCTTTTTTTCTCTTCCAGATAAAAGAACTACAATTATAACTTTTTAATTTTAGTTTTATAATATTAATTTTAAATATGCGAATAAATAGTACCTTTACGTTGAGGTTCTGTACTTTCAAGGATGTGATTAAACCCGTCAAGTAATCTTGGAATCGCTCCATTGCTTGAGAGAGCGGCACAGATTGAGACACTTTCTCTACAGGTAGAAGCAATTCTTCTTAATCCAATAGTCACTATATGTTCTCTCTCAGCGTCTGTGCCCCTTATAATAGAAATTAATAATTAATACTTTTTAAATTTAATAACATATTAATGTCTATAGTTATACAAGATATGTAAAAACAATGTAGCTATTTATTTAAAATTATAAAAAAAGATTTCTTTTTGAATTTTTTTCGGGCTGTCCATTGTTAGGAAGCCATTATTAATGCAATACTACCCATGTTATTAGCTTGAAAATGTGCCAAAAATTCCTGCTTGGGCACTTTTTGACTTTTCAAACCAGTAAATGCAAAAAAGGAATGTTTACCTAAATTATTGTATGCGTTTAAATTTGTTACTAACAATAAGGAGTTCTTGGGGTCAATGATTCAGGACTTATTGTCGCACGAAGGAATTATTTTGTTCAATCATCTTGAACTCATAATCTAAAAACAGAGTATCGTCGTTGAATCTTTTGAACAACCACCACGAGGAGAGTGCTGCAGCGGACCGTGGACATCAACTTCGAGGCATAACACCCTGGTATCTTAAGGTCACAATATATGTACCCTTTTGTAATTTTTTCTTTGGTGTAAATAAATATGTGAGAAAAATGCTCACTTTTACAAAATAATATGAAGAATTGATATTCGGAAATTTTGTATAAGAAAAAGTGCAACGCAACTTTTTCGACATTTTTTACTTTTTTTTACAAAATTTTTAAACAAAATACTTCTTTTTTAGTATAGGTACAATGCAGATTTGTTTCAGATCTTCTTTATTTTAATTATTTAACAAATTTTTAACTAAAATTTTTCATTTTCTAAATTAATTAATTTTAATAATTTTAATGAAATTCTTTAGGTATAAATGCAAATATTTTAAATTATATTTCAATTAAAAGTTTTATGAAATTCAACAATTGTTTACAATTTAAAAAAAAATCAAATAAAATTACCAAAAATTATTTTTAATGATCTTTATAATAGGGGAGGATGGGGCAAGGTTAGTTAGTTGCTGTTATGTTTAGACGGCTTGCTCAAAAATAGCGTCAGTCATGGTATATTTGCGTCTTAACACCAATAGATGACAGTAAAAATTGGAAGTCAATCTGCCACCATTTGCGAAGTCATGAGTTTATTTTTGTAAAAACTCTGTTTTGCTAAAATGTCAACGTAGTGTTTATCATATTGTTTTCTATAATAGTGCTTCTGAATATTTATTTACGTAAGTGTTTTCCGGAGTAGAATTTCCTGCTGAACACGAATATCGTATTTATTTTCAAATTAATTCACGTCGTTCCTTAAAATTTGGAAAAAACTGAAATATGGGCTCATGGGGCAAGGATAGTTAGAGTTATTACAGTTCGATAAAATCCTGCTAATGCGACTGCAAATTATAAAAAATTGTTTAATTGTTCTTTTCAGGTTGATATACATAATGATGCGTAATTATATACGGAAAACGAAGCTTATTGACCAAGAAATTAGTGATCATCTGAAGAAAATTGGTTAAGGGGTTAGGGGTAGTCAGAGGCACGAAAAAATGAGAATTTTCAGTATTTTTTTTTGCTATTAAATAATTTTATTTTACAAAAGTAGTAATATGGTATTATTAAACAATGTTTTGACTTGAAGTCACGAAAATTTAAAAAAAAAAAAATTTTTATTTCCGAAGTTACAGCTGTTTGTGTTAACCCAGTTCCAAAAAAAGGTCCTTGCGGTGACAATCATAAGTCCTTGGAGATTAATCAGAAATCAATCGGATAAAAAAAATTAGTTTTATAAATAAATAATCCTGGGCCTGATCGAAGGATTTTTTTTTTTTTCAAAAATTAACAAAATGGCGGCCTCAGGAAATTTTTGTCTAGATTTTTGGGAAAAAATCAACATTTAATTGGTCTTAAAAAATCGAAATTTTTCAAAAAAAAAAAAATCCTTCGATCAGGCCCGAGTTTATTATGTATTCTAAAAGCTGTATAAATTTCATTAAAATCGACTGAGCGGTTTTCGAGTTATAGTTGTCACCAGTTCAAAAAACATAGTTTTGAGAAAAACGCGTTTAGTTTCACACTAGATTTACGTACAAAAAAACGAATTATTAAATTACTTACACCGAGTCATCTATTCCTGGGCCATATTAATTTAGGTACTACTACATATACCCAAGTCTAAGTTCATCGATGACAATAGAACCCTAAAAGCCGATTTCTTGCAGCTGACACTAGCTGCAAGCGCTCGCGAGCGCTTTAAAAGGCCCGAGCTCTCTTTGTTATTTGTCGAATAACTTAAAAACGAATTATCGGATTAACTTGAAATTTTCAGAGATTATTTTTAAGATATTTTACTTAACGAAAATGCAAAAAAAAAAAATTTGATTTTTTGAAAATTCTGACTACCCCTAACCCCTTAAACCTCAGATTCTAGGTCAGACGAATTTTAATGCATTAATTGATATTTAGAAAATGTTTAAAATATATTGTTAACACTTGATATATCAATATTGAATAGTCTAAATCCAATAAAATAAAGAAAACGAAAATTTACTGATTTTCTATGACATTTTTAGCATTCGGATTCCTTTAACTATCCTTGCCCCGGTACTGGGGCAAGGATAGTTAAAAATTTTTTTTTACTTTTTCATTCGTATCTCGTAGGGATTGCAGTTTACAGTAAAATAATGTATAGCAAAATTATAGCCAAATAACCAGGCTTTCCAAAAATACTACACGTTTGCAGATACAAATTCACGTTTGGTCGCTAGATTCGAAAACGTCTTACCTAACTATTCTTGCCCCATCCTCCCCTATTCTTCGAAAACTCAATTATCTGAAAGCATTATTCAATTAAAAAATTTTAAATTCAATTTTTGTCTTTAAGTTTTAATAAATTCGTCAAAAAAATATATCACGAAAAAATTTAAATTCAAAATCATTTGAATTTAATTATTTTCAAAAATTTTAATTTATAACCTTCTAAAATTTAATTATTTTCAAAAATTTCAACTGGAACTCTTCCAAATTTTAATGATTTTAAATGATTTTTTAAATATTCTTCAAAAATTCAATTATTTGGAAGCATTTTTTAATTAAAAATTTTTGAAATCCAATTTTTGTCTGTAATTTCTTATTCAGTATGGCTACAAATTTTGTTTCTTTTATATCTATGCAGTTAATTTTCAGGAAGTTATTTAAAGATTCAAGAACCTACTAAAGAGATTATTTCTACCCCTATCTGCAAAAATCTTAGGTTACACACGACCACAAAAAAATCTATAATAGGGTTCCTTTAACCAGTCCAGGTGAATATTATTTTAGGGTCGCTGAACACGATTCAAAAGTCCGATTTGCTCCATCACGTTAGAATATTCCTCTAATAATCTGTTAATAATTTACTGTTAAAGTATCAATTAATGTTAATAAATAAATATTTCTTTCCTTTAATTTAAATATCAGATAATTGAAAATTTACCTCTTTAAATAAAAAAATATTTAATTTTACATTTTTAAAACGAAGCAAAACCTAAGTCAAGTTTTAATAGGAACTAAAGAAGAATATTAAAGAAGAATATTTCTACAACTATTTTGTCATTTGTTTAGTACAAAATCAAGGTTACTCTACGCCAGAGTTTAATAAGAGTCTAATAAAAGTCGATACCAGTCGTCTTTTTTGCTCTCTCGACAAGCTAAAAATTATTTCATAAATTTACTTTAAAAGTCATTATATAAAAAGTTTTGCTTATTTGTAAATACTTACTGCTTACTAAAGTGGATGAGAAGATCAAGAGCTAGAGAACACAATGCAGGATGGGTTTCTATATGTTCTCTTAAAGAAGTCACAGGATTAGACGCATCAGATCCTTTTTGCGAATTGTCATGTGAATTATTTACAAATATTTCGACGTCAGCTTCGTAACCATCGTCCCCTGTTATGTGTTCATCATTACTACTATCATCGGTCCCACAATCTGTTGTCACGTCGGAAATAAAAGTTGGCAACTAAAATAAAAGCTAAATATTAGTTTATTTTGTTTTAATTTTCTAATGTGAAATGAAAGGTCAATTTTATTTACACTGTGACAATTAAAACTTCAGATATTATTCTCAAAATAATACAAAACTTTAAACAGTTACACACACATAAACACACACACACACACAAGCACGCAAACGCACACACACACAGGTTTCTGGAAAGAAAAAAAAGTTTGCCTACGATTCCAAGAAAAATCATTGTTACCCGGTGGTTCCTTAGCACCCCCTGAAACGAGAAAACTTAACCCGAAAATCGTAGCTGTTCATTTAGACAAGTTTCACCCCTTTCTAGGGGTGATTTTGAATTTTTTTAAAAAAACTTGTTTCTTAAGGTATCACATCGGTAAAACCGTTTTCTATAAATTTTCTTGAAAATTTTACCATATGTTCTTATTGTCATTCTTGACAAATTTGCAAAATATGAAGAATTTTCGCCGTACGAAACCAGAGATATTAGCAATCAAAGTTGCTTATTTTGCATGGGAGACGGGACTAATGTATGGGGGAGAAGTACATTTTCATAAATATCATCAGAAGTTTTCTATAAATTTTTTTCAAAAACTAATGTTGAATTCAAGAATAAATTTGGAACTAAAATATACAAAGAAATTTATAATTTACGGTGCCGTTTATTTGTAATTATAAATTAAAAATTCTATTTCATGACGTCATTTGCAATATATAGCACACCCGCCACTTTGATGTGGCAACATCGCAGGATGGTAACATTAGTTAGAGAGAGACAGTAGTCCACAGTAGTCAAAGCGAGACTTATAGCGACGTTGTCAAACCTCCTACTCCTTCCAATCGCTGCTAGTGTGGGGTATACGTGTACGAGTGTATTTGTAGAAGTAGGTACAGTATGGGCTGAGAGTATAGGGAGTTGAGGGCGAAAATATAGTGCGGGAAGTAGTAATGCGAGCTACAAACTTTTGACTCCGATTAGTGCCGATGTGATACCTTAAGGATCAGAAAAAAGTTTTAAATTATTTTAATGATTTTTATTTGTGTGAGTGTGTTTGTAGGATCTCATTTTCTAGGTGCAAGTGATTAAAAATTTTTTTGACAAAAAAGAACTCGAATTCGTAACTTTTCTTATATATAGGTGACGGTTTGGGATGATTTAATTAGTAAATAAATAAATCGTTTTAATGAATTTATATGTATAGGGCGAAACCCGGCTGAAAAACCTTGTAGAGGAAAATGTACAAGTTCTTGTACATGTTCATTAATGAACTTGTACATTTTCTTGTACATGTTCAAGTAATGTTCTTGAACAAGTTCAGCATCCGGAATTGAGACATGTTCTTGTACCAGAACTTGTACAAGATCCTGGATACGAAAATATACTTGTACAAGAAAATGTATATGTTCTTGTACATATTTTTTGTGCAGGTTTCATGTACATCCACTTTTACATGAACACGTTTATGTTCTTGTACAAGAACATTTGTTTAAAAATGTTTTTGAAAAAAATTTGAAATTTTAATAAGTTATAATTATTAAGATTCTTCACTTATGCATGCTAAAAATTATTGCGCAGCTGTAAAGGCTTAAGAAAACTACTGCGCAGCCTTTAAAGTTTTTAATTTTTAATTTAAAAGACATAAAGGAACATGTACAAGAACATATTCCACATCTGGTACAAGAAAATTTACATGAAACCTGCACAAAAAAAGTATGTACAAGAACATGTACATTTTCTTGTACAAGTATATTTTCTTGTTCAGGATCTTGTACAAGTTCTGGTACAAGAACATGTCTCAATTTCAGATACTGAACTTGTTCAAGAACATTACATGAACATGTACAAGAAAATGTACAAGTTCATTAATGAACATGTACAAGAACTTGTACATTTTCTTCTACAAGGTTTTTCAGCCGGGAATTCCACCACGAAGTGTTGTTAGGTTTTTTCAAAAAGTGCCTGTAGGAGAGGGAAGGAGTTGGATTTTATGAAAAATTTAAACAGTGATTTTTGATTTTTTTGAGAAGTTAAAAATTTGTATTTTTTCTACGAAAAATATTGAGATGTTCTTGTTTGTTATTTTTGAGATATTAATTATTTAATTATTTAACGTTAACAAAAAATGAAATATTTTATATACAAATAAAGTTATCGTAATTCTGACGTTACCAATTGAAAGCTACCGTAATTCCGCATCCAACGAGCCATATATAAAGAATTTTGGATTGTTAATAAATAATCGCATAACATTGCTCGTTAGATGCGGAATTACGTCAGCTTTCAATTGGTAACGTCAGAATTACGATAACATTATTTGTTTATAAAATATTGCATTTTTTATTAACATTAAATAATTCATTAATTAATATCTCGAAAATAACAAAAAAGGACATCTCAATATTTTTTGTAGTGAAAATACACATTTTTAACTTTCCAAAAAATCAAAATTCACTGTTAATTAAATTATCCAAAATCGTCACCTATATAAAAGAAAACTTACGAATTCTAGTTTTTTTTATTAAAAAAATTTTTAATTGCTTGTATCTAGAAAAAGAGGTCCTACAAACACATTCACATAAATAAAAATCATTAAATAAATTTAAAACTTATTTCTGACCCTTAAAAAACAATGTTTTAGACAAATTTCAAAATCACCCATAGAAAGGGGTGAAACTTCTCTAAATGAACAGCTACGATTCTCGGGTTAAGTTTTCTAGTTTCAAGGGGTGCTAAGAAACCACAGGGTAACAATGATTTGTCTTGGAATCGTAGGCAAACTTTTTTTTCTTTCCAGACACCTGTGCACACACGTACGCACACACAGACACACACATTACCGAGAATTTCCTGAAACTTAACATTATTTGCACATCAAAGTCGGAAGGTTTGATTGAGCTAATCAAAAAGTTCTCGTAAGATCTCTCGCAAGATCCCAGCTGTGTCGCTTGAGATATTGCCAGCGTTTTCACGTCAGTACTTATATACGTTTTTCCAGTAGGGACCAATATTTTTTCCGTATATATTTAAAACGGTAAAAGTGCAAAAGTCAAAAATCCCACTCTGAAATAATTTTTCCCGTGTTTTAAAAAACATTAATGTTTAATTTAAAGAAAAGAAAACTTGCTTCTTTTTTTGAATGGCTATTTGCTGCACCAATACGTGATTGATGTTAATAGTACAAAATAGTAACTATCTCCTTGATTGATTTTAATTCAACAAAATACGGCATCCAATGCTAAATTAAGTCAATTCTTATACTTTATTTATATTTAAGGTATATGCAGTATATAAATTATATTTATTTGTTTAAAGAATTTATTATTGTTAACTTATTATAACTATTCCAATACGAAAAATATAGCAATTATAACTATTATTTAAATAAACATAAAGAATTGTAGCTTTTTTGACTTGTTAACTGTTTATATTGAAAACAATAAAACATTATATTAAATTAAAGAAAAGTTTTAAAGAGGAATCTCAACACCCTTCAGATGAAGAATATTAAACCATTTGTGAAAAAAAAATTTAATTTGCATTATTTATTAAAAAAAACATTTTATTGGTATTTAAAATTCTTTTTTCCTTTATATTTTCCTTATTCGACTCGCCATTTTGAATTTTTATTATATGACATCGGATTCGTAATCAGCAACCCCAATAACTCCCGAGTAATGATTTCCAGAATGATTTAATTGCTTTTTCGATTTTCGACCACGTTTTTGACATTTGGAACCACTGCTATAGATTACCCAAATATTAATATTTTTTAAATTTCAAACTCGTTAAAAGTACATAGAAACATGTACTACTCAATTCAATGTACATTATTTTAATAAACTTTTAATGAAATGGCTAAAAATAATTATATAAAAATCACTTATTTTTTGCGAACAAAAACGTATGTAACACCTTAAATAAATTTTGTATTATTTTTGTTAATCCTCTCTCTCTCTCTTCTTCCACTCTAAGAAGTCATGACAATAAAAAAAGTTAATTATAAGACTTCCTCGGGCAATTTTGACGCAAATTCAACCATTGGAACTTAGTTTTCTGTCACCCTTCAAAAAAAATTGTTTTGGCGTTGTCATCATAAGTCATGACAGATTCATCAGAAATTAAAAAACCTAATATTTTCTGTTAGTAGATGCCTATAGCTTGTGTTTGAATGAAGCAAAAAGAAAAAATTAAAATTTTTGGCGGAGTTTTAAAAAAAAAGACAGTTTTTGGTGAAATTTTCACCACGTTTTGGCAAGTAGATTTAGTTGTGATTAAAAAGAAGTCATTCGGTCAAGCACGAGATAATGTTATCTTGAAGAAGTGTCCAATTTACCTTCGACGCGCTAGGCTGACATATCGCGTGGGGGGAAATTTTAAATGCTCTATCTCTTAAACAAGTTGTAAATTCAGATGTTCATTACATGAACATTTTGCTTCCTCTTTACGATCAGCAAAAAAATTTGCTTCCTCGTGGAGAAAGCAAAATTTTATTGCTAAAATGTAAATTTTTGATTTTTTAACTTTCCTTTAAATTTACTTCAAATGTATACTTTATATATATCGATCGATTCGTCTTGACGTAAGAAATACAATTATTTCATATATAAACTTCAATTTAAAAAATCACAAAATTTTATAGCCTAAATGTGAAATTTTGATTTTTTTACTTTCATTAATTCTTTAAATTTACCTTAAATGTATACTTTATATATATCGATCGATTCGTCTTGACGTAAGGAAAACGATTTTATTATATATAACCTTAAATTTTTCTATTTAAAAATTTTTTCGATTAAAAAAAAATTTTTGGAAAAAAGACGATAAAATTTTTTTTTTTGGGATATTTTTCAAAATCCTTTGGTCAGATTTGAGATATTAATATGATAAATGAGCCTAACAAATATTATCTAAATCCATTAAAACCTGTTAAAGTTATCTTCTAAACAAAAAAGGGATCCACACACACACATACACACACACATACATACATCCGGAC